GTCATCATGTGTTCTGATGGAGTTGATTAATCCTCTATAACTTTATATATTAGAATTTTGCTTCATTGTTATTCTCCTTCCCTATTTTTAAATGTTGTCCCTTTAAGCCTTTTTCTCTCTTTTTAAAAATCTATCCTGGCTGCTCCACTTCTAATCCAGTTCCCTAGTTATGGCCTGAGAAAGCAGTAGAGGATGGTCCACGTCCCTGGGACCCTGCATCCACATGGGACACTTGGGAAGAAGCTCCTGGCCCCGGGTGTTGGGTCAGCTCAGCTCCAGTCATTGTGGCCATCTGGGGAGTGAATCAACAGATTGAAGAGCTCTCTCCCATCCCTCTTGCTATAGAATTTGCTCCCCAAATAAAAATAAATCTTAAAAATATATATACATATAATCTGTAGGATCCAATGGTCAACACTATTATCGGGTACTAAGGATAAAAAGAGGAATAAAGCAGATAAACTTTTTAGAAGAATTATGACATCTTTGTTATATGTACATTTTATATCATTTGTCAAGCAAAGCAAACAGTGAAGGAAAGTGCCATTCCTTTTGATACGTGCTATAAAACAAAAACAAAAAAACACCCCAAATAAAAAAGCTCTGAAGACCCCATTTAGAGAATACCTGACAATAAATAACTAATCAGCAAACATGGAATGAATTTCCCTTCAAACAGTGTAGACAGTATTCAGCAAATACCTGACGGAAGAGCCGGCTTTTGCACACTTAATGGTTAGGATCTGGGAGGCCAAAACAGAAAGAACTTCCACATCAATTCGATTGAAGGCATCAAAACAACACCATGCTCCTGACTGAACCAGCCCAAAGAAGAATTTTTCCACAGTCTTTGGAGGACAAAACAGGGTGGTGGGAGAGACAGGGAGAGAATGAATGAGAGCTTGGCTGATTACTGAACTGCCACAAAGGTGGGAGATTTCACTGGGATATCAATGTGGACACATCTTGCCCCAAACAAGGGAGCACTTGTGGCATTTCCTCCCCACAGGTACTTTTTTGATAAGGCTCAAAGCAACAGATGGTTAGCCTCTGGACAAACCAATTCCTTTTCCTGTCTCTTCTAAGAGCCTTAGCCCACAAGAACAATCTCTTGGCACTCTCAGGAAGAACACGCAGGCGGTCAAAGCCGCCAACTAGAGCGGTACAGCCCGGCAACTACCAATTATTTCGTAGTGCTGCGTACCTGCACCCCCATCAGGTTAGCACTTAAAATGACTTTGTATTTAAAGTGTTACTCTCGATTATTTTATATAGTTGTATTCCATCTAAGATCGTGCTTGAAAAGGATTAGCTGCCAAGAAAGATTGAAAATCACTGTTTTAGCAGTTCAGCTGAATTAAAAGCATAGAATGTTTTAAATTTCTATTACATTCTAGATGCATGCTCTATTTAAAAGTATTAATTGAACTTATGGTTCTATTACTACTAAGTGACTCTCAACATTTTTTTCTTATTTCTTTATGTGTATATTTTTTTTTCTGGAGCACAGATGTTGAAGCTTTACCTTATAATCCAAATTCTCGAAACAGTGGAAGACCACACAATGCTTGCCTAAAGCCTGAAAGATAGAAAATACTTTAGTATAGTTCTTGAATTATGCGACAAAATTCCAACATCAAAACTGCCAGATTAGTAACATGTGCCCTTTCGAGAGACTTTCTGCAAGGTAAAATTGACAGAGATTCAAAAAACTTGGTATGATACAAATGTACATGTGATGGTTTTACTATTTTGCACGCACACACACACACACACACACACACACACACGATCATTCGCACGCCAGTTAATGCTATTCCAAATGCATTCAAAGCGAATGTGGGCTTACGGAGCTTGACCATTCAGCATACAATCGGCATTTAAAAATCAATCCATAAGTTCACTGAATTAATGGGTGTCATTGGTAAAAGCAATGAATGTTTCAACAACAGGCACAGTGTCAGTTTAGGGTATCATTGAAATTTGTGTGACAGAAAAGATGTTTTTGAAAGACACTTACTTTGGCTAGGTCTTTTATAGTCTCTGTTTTTCCTACACCTGTTGGACCAGAAGCACAACCTCCTAGGTTCAAGTGGAGTGCTCCCAGGAAGGTTAACCAGCATCTGTCTGTGAGGGGCGTAATGACCAGCCTGGAGGTACAGCCCAAGTACTCATAGCCGTAAGCCAAAGTGGCATGTCCTTGAGATATGTAGCATAACTTCTGCTTGTCATCCCACTTGTACTGTAAATGTCTGAAAGCAATATTTTAAATGCTTATTATTGGGGTAAAATTTTCATTCAAACAAAGAAACATCAAGATTAAAAATGAGTGTGGACTCAACACACTGAAATTGAAAGAGAAGAGCGGCAGGATTAGATCAGAAATGTGAGAGCTCAGAAGACGCTACACAGGTAGGTGGTTTCCCCTCCGTGGTGAATGGCCTGGCGGGCTCACACCACATAAAGGCGATGCCCACCTAAGGGAGGATTTCTATACAGGTCACTCCGAGGAGGTTTGGTTTCCAGTCAATAGAAGCACTCATCATCACCATCTGGATCCTTCTTAGAAGCGTCCTTGAGAAAAACGCTCTTTACATCCAGAAACATGATTTTCTGCAGACTCAGATTTCCACTGATTGAATGAGCATGGTAAGTCAAATAGCTAATTTTAAATTCCGTCCTCCACATGAACTTGAGTTAAACTGGTGACTTGTTTGTAACCTCAAGGGATATATTGTTTTGGCTTTTGTCTGTGTCCCTAGCAGTGCCGACTTATGTCTCAAAATAACATTTTTAGGGCCTAATCAATGAAGGAATGCCAAAGAATATTTTTGGAAAGAATTTTACATTTGATAATTTTTAAATGTCATGGGAAAAATAATGTTCGTTAATAGCTTGGTATATCTTTCAATTGATGATGTCATGTGATAAGCTTATATACTATTCAAGTCCTTTTAAATGCTTCCTGGAAAAGGTCATTTTATAACTTAATATTCAGAATAAGTAAACTTTGAAAATAGAAAAATGAAATATACTCAAAATTTGGCAAGCTCTCAGGGGAGAGAGAAAACCTTTAAGGGAAAATTAATTCAAAAGTTTGAAATGTCACAATTATGATAGGAATTTTTATTTCCTTTTCATATCTTTTCATCAACAGTGGCCCTCTTTCACCTAAACTTGTCTTTTTTAACTAACTGCCTCTGGCTAGGGGGAAGGAAGCTGGCTGGAAAAGCTTTACAGTTTGTTTCCCCAGCCTACTGTGTTCTGGAAGAGGATCCAGCAAGAAAAACATGCTCCTTTGGCTGAGTCGCAAAAGGGAAAACTCAACTGTGAGAAGACAGAAGAACGAGGGAGAGAAAAAAGAATAAAGTGATCAAAGTGATACTTGCAGTTTGCTTAGGAATTTTGGTATACACTCAGAAATTTAAATGTTTTCAAAATTTGAAGTCAAGGATCCTTTTATCTCAAGATCTGATGATGAGAAGTTATTTAATGGAGTTACAATTTAGATTCACTCACCTTGACCACTCAAAGTCCTCTGCCTTGAAGACATTTCTAAGCAGTAAATTTATCACCAAGTCTCTGCAGTGAACATACAGGATGAGCAAGGCCCCAAGCACGGCTTTCCTTCGAGAGTTACAAGCATCCCGCAGCATCAGTTCTGCAAGCTGTTCTACACGACCTAGCACGCCGGCACGGACTTTTTCCAATGCTTCTTTTGGTTGATAACTCATGAAACTTTTAATGCAGTCGGAACAAAACATGATCTGACTCTGACAAAGAGATACATATAGAACAGAAGCTTAACTTTTCATTTTGCATTAAGAATGTTTCCCTATATGTGTCATATATACTGACTGAGAAAATGTTTTGAGGGCTTAAAATAGAATTTTGATGAATATTTACAGAGGGCTTATTCATTTATATTTTCTAATCTTAGATTGCTAATTCCAACGTCACTAATTAATAACCTGTCAACAATAACAAAAGAGCACTCCAAGAGGAAATCGGTGTTGCTTTCTCCATTGATCTTACAATATACCCAGAATCCACTGTGTTTGTAGTCACAGAAGGCATGGGACAGGCAACCTGGTGAACTGGTGAACAGTCTCGGTTGCTAATTCTGTCCTTTTCAAAGGAGACTGTAGATTTGCAGATCACTGATCAACAGGAAGGTGGAGCCTGAGCTTGGGACGTAGACAGGAACAAAAGCCGACTCCAGCAGCAGCAAACCTGGTAAAGGTCATGTCTGTGCTGTTGCCCCTGGCACATTTATTCTAGATTCCCAGCCTCAGGAGAGAAGACCCAATGGCCCAAGTCCCCTCCCTGGGATATCCTGGGTAGGCGGGAGGAGGAATTTTTTCAGTGAAAGAGATTGGGAACCAGAGTGTTCATCTGCAGTGGAATTCTTAATGACTGTATCTTGAGATGAGTCTGTCTGGAAAGCCTCATTGGCCACAAGTATGTTTTATATTCATTCAAAGACAAGTTCTAGTCATGTAACATGTTCAGAAATGTGAGATACAAGAGGGATGTAAATTGCCTTCTGGGCAACAGAATTTGCAGTAGATAAGGCATATGTGTGGGGAAAACTTGGGCATAAGTACAGACTGAAGCTGATAGTCACTCCTGTCAAGTATTGTTTGGAAACACTACAGACTGCCTCTTAGTTGAGCATGTTTCAAGGACTAGAGGTGCAGAGATCTTTTCTTGATAGAGAAGGTTTGATTATTTGAATTTCCTATTGAAATGTGCAGACTGATTCATTATCACTTTGCCATTTGGTCACCTTTGTAAATAGCAGCTTGAACAAGTCCTTCAGTTTAAGATCTAACAGAGGATAACAAAAGGGATCAAGCATCTCTGATTATGTTAATTTGTATCCACAATCCCAGGCTATTTTACTAGCGAAGTTTTGGAAAATTGTGTTAAGTCAAAGTAAAAAGACATGATGTTATTTTTGTTACGTAAATAAATTACTTATTTGAAAGAATGATGAAGGAAAGGCAGAGAAAGAAATGTACACATTTCATCTTTCACTCTCCCAACAGTTCAATAGCCAAGGATTGGCAAGGTCAACATTAGAAGCTGGGAACTCCATCAACGTCTCCCCCTCTGCATGTGAAGGGCCAAGCTCTTGGGCCGGTACCTGCTGCTTCCCAGGTCCTTTAACAGGAAGCTGGATTGGATGCATTCATCCCAAGTAATCACCCTGTGATGACATTTTAAAATAACCATCATGTAACCATGGCTGGGTCAGGGTGAAGCCATTAATTAGCTAAAGGCCCGCTCTGCATCTCCCACAGGGGAGCCATCATCTTCAGTCCCACAGGGAGCACATCAGCAGGAAGTGGAATTGGGAGCAGAGCTACTGGCATTCCAAGTGGCATCTTAAATACTAAGCCAGATGTCCAGAATGAAGTTATCACGTCTCTCCAAAGCCTTTCAAGCCATGCAGACTCCTAGAGCAAAAAATCAGAAAAGCCCCCCTCTCCCTTAGCTTCCATGAGAAAAATCTCCTAATTTTCTTTCTCTTTCCAGCTACTCTTCTTCAGTCTTCTTCCTGGATGCCCCTTCCTCCACCTACTTCTCAAATGATGATGTTTCTTGGGGCTCTTTCTTTGTCCCTCCTTCTCCACTCTGCTGGGTGAAATTTTACTGCCTCCATGGTTTCGACAACTACTTCTCAAAAGAATTGCCAATTTGGACAAGAATCTAAAAGTTAACAGCTGAGCCATGGATAAAGAAAAATATGGTACATACATATACACAGTGAAATACTACTATTCAGTCTTTTTAAATGATGTTATTTCGCCATTTGTTGCAACATGAAAAGAACACAGAAGATTTTTCATCCATAAGTAGAGGCAGATACAATTACAAAAGAATCCTTAGAGGGATGTTGTGGCATAGACAAGACATGGCTTGCAATACGGTTGCCAGTTTGAGTCCTAGCTGTCCAACTTCCAATCCAGCTCCCTGCTAATGGTATGGGAAAGCAGAAGATGCTCCAAGTGTTTGGGCCCCTGCCACCCACATTGAAGACCTGGAAAAATCTCCTGGCTCCTGGCTTCTGCCTGGCCCAGCCCTGGGTGAAGCAGCCATCTGCAGAGTGAACCAGTGGGTGAAAGATTTCTCTCTCTCTTCTCATTCTCTCTTTCCAACTCTGAATTTTAAATAAGTAATTTTATTATTATTTTTTAAAGAACAGTTAGGGAGATGCAACACTGTTGCCTTTGAACATACAGGAAGAGACCCCAGTGCCTACTCAGGAATGCTAAGTGGTTTTGAGAAGCTGAAATAAAGGACATGGACTCTCCTCCAGAGTCTCCAGGAAGGAACAAGGCTCTGCTGACACTTTGACTAGCCCAGGGGCCCCTGAGTTAGTCTTCTCACCTCAACTTCAAAGTTAGTATTTAATTTTTTTAACTCCTCAAGTAAAAAAGAACAACAAACTGGATACAATGAAATATAATGATTCGCCTAGGAAAAATAACCATTTATGGATTATTTCAATATTATGAAAAGTTTGAAACCCATAGGAAAATGAACTTATACAGTGAATACCCATACAGTTATCATCTGTATTCCACAACAAACTTTTTGCTGTATTTGCTTGATCATATTTATATCTTTATGTCTTTCCATTATATTTTTATAATTTATGTATTACATTATTTTATGATACACTTCTATAGGCTCTGGGATTCCCTATCCCCACTGATTTCCAGTATATTATTATAATAGTATGGCCCCTCATAAACAGCATAAGTTCATCATCCTGCTCTTTAAGTATCCTGACTTTGTAGGTATGGACAATGGCAGAGTCCATCATCTTATTGTCAAAATATATTTAGCAGTTTCACTGGGAGTCCATCTTTGATTTGGAAGTAGAGATGTATACTGCATTGTATACTCACATCTGTATGTGATAGTCTATTACATGGTTACTATACATCCCCTTAAATGAAAAACCATAAAACAAAATCAACAGGAAGGAAAACAGAAAATTTAAAACATGAAGTTAAATAACAAGCTATTGAATGATCAGTTACTAAAGAAGTGAAAAGGGAAATAAACCTTTTTGAAGAAAATGATGCTACTGTATGTATGATCTATGTGTCACTGAAGACATTGAAAGCTTTTCTGGGTAAGTTATTCTGGGCTGACAGTTTTTCTATTTAGAATCTGGAATGTGTCACTCCATTCTCATCTGGCCTTTAGAATTTCCTGTGAGAAGTCAGCAGTGAGACTGATTGGGGTTCCTCTATATGTTAATTGACTTTTTCATGTGGATATTTAAGGGTCTTTTCCCCGCATTTAACAAGAGAGCTTCATTATCATGTGTCATGGCGAATAAGATCAACCTTATTGGGAGTTCTGTGTCCCTCGTGTCCCTCCTGTAGTTGTTTTCTAAATCGTTTTCCAAATTAGGGAATGTTCCTTTATTATTTCATTGAATACATTTTTAAACCCAGCTTCTCCTTCTGTGCCTTCTGGAACTCCCATAATTCTTATAGTCGGCCTTTTAATAGTATCTCAATTCTTGTACTTTTTTGCTTGACTCAGTTATTTCCAGCTTTTTGGTTGTTTCTCCATTGTGAGAAATAATTTCCAATTCTGAAAATCTTTCTTTTGCTTGCTCATTCTATTACTGAATTTCATGTCTAATAATTTGGCTTGATCTAGTTTCAGCGCTGCTATTTTGTGTGACACATTCCTTAAATTCCTTGAACTCCTGTATGTACTTCTCAGTGTTGTTAAGAAGCTTTATAACAAGTTTTTAATATTTTTTTACCCCTCCCCATTTTTGCTTTTGCTCCTTTGCAGTGGAGGCATCAGTAACATTCATTGTGCCTCTGTTTCTTCTTTTGTTGTTGGTAATTGCTATTCTAGTTCGCAGATTCCTCTCCGTAGGGCTGGTTTCTAAAGTGTGTTGCCCACAGGTCTATAGATCGATTTTTCTGATTGTGTACCCGGTTCATCATTTGCAGTTACTTGTGTTACTCCCTCCAGCAAGTTTCAGTCCCAGGCTCTTGTGCTCTGCGTCCATCATGGTCTCCACAGACCCAGCTCCTGGTTTACTCCTTTCTATCCATTGTGATACTGTGCTGTAGTCATGTTGCTTGCATAACCTTTCTCCCAGTCTTGGTTTAAGCAGTGCCCAGAATTAGGGAGATGTCAGCTATCCTAAATCACTGGGCTGTCAGTAGTGCCAGAACCTGCTGGCCATAAGGTTTGACATCACTTGGACCTATTTTGTGTAGAAACCATAGGATGTGAAGTCAGTACTATTTCCCCTTGAGACCAGTGCAATGCATTGAGCTGGAAATTAGCTTTCTCTTGACTCAATGCCTGTGGAGTTCACTGACATCCCTCTAGCTCCACAGTCTTTTCCTCAGTACACAAAATGGCACCCATTGTAGCATTTGTGGAGGTCTGGGCCTACTGCCTTAGGTCTGGGGGGTCACCTGAGCCTATCTTGGGTGGAACCTTTAAGATGCCATGTAGATACTGCTTTTCCTGTGGGATCAGTACAATGCTTCGGGCTGGAAATGAGCTTGTTCCTGGCTTAGTACATGTAGAGCTTGCTGTTGTTCTTCCAGCCCCATAGCCTTTTCCTCAGTACACAAAATGGCACACATTGTGGCACTGATGGGGGTGTGAGCCATGAAATTCACCTTGTCCCTGCAACTGCCTGCTTGGGCTTTGCCACTCTGCATCTGTTTGTGGTTGAATCAAGTGAATCGGCAGGATGGGCAGTTCTATGGGTTCACTTCCTGAGCTCCAGGTGAACTCTCCTTCCCGCCTGGCCACTGGTGGAGCGCTGATCCCCGACCACTGTTGGGGTATGTGGTCACTGCAACACCGTTCTGCTGTCTTTGTTGCTTCTCTGTGCCCATGGGTCTTCAGGTATTCCTTTGCCATTGGTCTGCCCTTTCCTATTTCCTGGGATGGCAGCCTCTCAGCTTTGCCCTGGCCAATGATTTTCCACTTGTTTATAAACATGTCCTTATCCTATTCCACCATTTTGTTTCTTTCCTTTCCATCTTTTTAAAATATTTTCATTTCAGAGAAACTTTTACATAATATCAGTCCTGTCATGATTTACTTCCTAAATGCTTGCCTTCTTTGCCGTATGACAACTAAACATTTACATACATACATCAAAGGAACATTAACTTACCACAGTGAGTACCACTTGTCCCAGATGAGTTACAGCCCATAAGGGAAAAACCTGGCAATACCAGTCTTTAATCCTTGATTTACAAATCTGTAAGCAAAAATACTTTGTTATTTATATCTAGTCACTTCTGGTGGCCATTTCATGGTTAAGCATACAAAGTTACAAGGGAATTTAAGATATCCATTTTTTTTCTAGTTTAGATAGATGTTTGGGACTACACAAAGGTAACACAAACTTAAAAGTATGAAACACATTTCCTGAATTCCTCTCTAACATTATCTGTACTTTTTCTAAAATTTTTATTTATTTGAAAGACAAGAAGACAGAGTGGACAGGAGAGTGATAGTTCATTCTCTAAATAGTTGCCTATGGCAGGGGTTGAGCCATCCTGAAGCCATGAGCCTGGAACTCCATCCAGGAGTGGCAGGTACCCAAGCACTCATTCCATCTTCCACTGCCTTCTTATGAGCAGGGAATTGGATCAGAAGTGGAACAGCTGGAACTTGAACCTGGACTGTCTAGGTTTAATTCTTGGCCGCAGCTTCCTGTTGATGCAGATCCTGGGATGTAGAGGTGAGTTTCTACCACACATTCAGGAGATCTGAATCATGTTCCCAGCTCCGGATTTTGGCTCAAGCCACTGCAGGCAACTCAGGAGTCAAGTAGTGGAAGATATCACTCATTCTCTCAAATAATTAAAAAATTAAAATCCAGACATTTAGACAGCTAATGTTTATAATTTTGGAACAATTCTGCCAAAATAGCTGAAAAAATGCAATCTAAGAATAGAAAGGGAGAACTGCCAGCCATATATACCACAGGATGGTTAGATGATGTTGAACAGTAGCCAAGATAAACATTAAAAAGACACTAAGTCCTTGTAAAAGCAGGTAGCAGCAGGTTCAACCCTACGCAGCAGCATATTCAAAGTTCTACTTCAGGATGAATATCTGGGCTGTGACTAGCATGCCAGTTAAGAGAGTAGGTTCCTGCGAATGGACATCCTGAGAGCAAGCAGGAAGCTCAAGCAGGTGGAAGACAGACGGAGCCTGAGTTCTCAGCCTTGAGCCTTGGCCTAGCCTAGCCCCAACCATTTTGGGCATTTGAGGAGTGAAGTAATGGAACTGTCTGCTCGCCTCTCAGGTAAATAGAAAGCAATGCATGTATGAACAGAAAATCAACAAAGAGAGAAAACACAAATATCATCAAACATAAATCATAGAAGTGAAGAATAACATAACTGAACATAAAAATTCAATAAAGGGTGTTAACCACAAACATGACTAAGTGGAAGAAAGAATTAGTGAACTTGAAGAAAGGTCACTGGAACAAAACTAAGAATGAAAGCCTGAAGATCCTACAGGACATCAGACAGTGAAACAATGTGTGCAATGCTGATATGCCAGAAAGAAGAGGGCAGAAAACATGTTAAAGAGGTGATGGCACAAAATTTCCCAAGCTTGGAAAATGAAACAGAAATCCAGATCCCAGAAGCCCAATGGACACCAAATAGGATAACTTTGGACAGCCACATCAAAACACATTATAATTCAGCTATCAAAAGCTAAAGACAGAGATTTCTGAAAGCAGCAGATTTAAGGGTATGATTGTATAGAAGGCAATAACCAGAATTCTGTAAGCATATTTTTTTCAGGATGTTAGAACAAATGAATATCCTTTAAAAATAAAGATGTATTTGTTTTTACTGGAAAGGCAGATTTAAAGAGAGAAGAGAGACAGACAGAAAGATCTTCTATCTGCTGGTTCATTCCCCAGATGGCTGCAACAGCTGGAGGTGAGCCAATCTGAGACCAGGAGCTTCTTTCCAATCTCCCACGTGGGTGCAGGGTCCCAAGGCTTTGGGCCATCCTCTACTGCTTTCCCAGGCCACAAGCAGGGAGCTGGATGGGAAGTGGCAATTTGGGGAGGGGGTAGGAAAACCCCAGACACTATGGAATACCATAAAATTTAAAATAGAAGGTGAAAAAGTCAGAAAACTATATAGTTTTTATATATATTGTTTTTACATGTGTGTGTGTATATATATACAAACCATGGTGTGTTTACATGCAATGGATAACATTAAGTCTCTGAATATAAGGACATCTTATTGTTTCTGATGACACAGATGGTCCTGGAGCACATTATGTTAGATAAAATCAGACAGGTGTAGAAAGAAAAAGCTAAATAATCTCACATTTACACCTGGGATACAAAAAAAACCTGACAAAGGTAGAGTTAAATACAGGTAACAAATATATATAGGTTCAGGATTTAAAATTTGTACTTACTTTTTTAACGCCTCAAACATGCTTTTTTCTACATTTGCCAGCCACTGTTCTACAGCACTTCTTACGTGAATTTTCCTGTAATTTGTTTAAAAAAAATCAGAAAGCCATTTCAATTCATGCTCTGTCCTTTGATAGACTTAGACTACATTTTGGCACATTTTAATAATATTCACGGGTCAATTATAATTCTAGAACATCTTTTGGTTATTCCAAATTTTAATTTAGAAAACTGCACAGAAAACAGTTAATCAGGTTTTAAGGAATTCTTACATAAAGACCATAAATTACACAGTAATTAGATTATATGCAAAAAAATTCATCTGTAAGAGACAGAGAGATTGTAGTATAAAACATTTTGGGGGGCCCGGCATGATAGCTTAGCGAAACAGGTCATGCAGTAATGAGAGTAGGAAACGCAAAGCAAATCTGAATGACAGAGCAGAAGCTAGACCTACATGAGCACCGTGAGTTTGAAGATTATCTTCTCTGCTTCTAATTGAAAAGAAATGAATATGTATGAGAAGACATCCAGAAAGGTGACAGCATATTTGAATAAGGATATTATATCTTAGTTTGCTTAGAGTGCTTCCATGAAAAACCAAATTTCAGAGGTTGTAAAGCATGAGGGCTTAAGGGGTCTGAACGCTTGGTTAGCAGCATATTCAGCATACTTGTGCAGCACGAGGCCTTCGCCTTCAGCAGACATGAGCATCCTTATGGTAGAGGGGCCGATCTCTTGCTTGCATATCATCAGCTGCTTCACATTCTCAAAGCACTTCACTAGATGAGGCTGTGAACCGGAAAGGTGGATTGACAGCATGAGTAAATCCCGGAATGCTCGGGAAATAGCACTGCTGAACACAGGGGAGTGCCGTTACCTGTACAGACTCAGGGTTTCTGCTGCCGGCTAGGATCGCAAGCAGCTCATCGGTGCTGAGGAAGTAAAACCTGGGGAAAATCATCCTTTTCATTTCAAGGTAGTCCTGTTCAGAAGAACCAAGAGAAATGCAGTTCAGAAAATATACTTATTCATGGTAAGGATCGTAACCGCATGTGTACCTACCTACACAAAAGCTACAACAGTAATGGTGTAGGGAACATGCTAGTATCTGTGAAAACCACGCCAAGGCCAAATGAAAGCTGTACTTAAGACATTAAAAACCTTTCCTAAAGCAAATTTAGAAAAAAAAAAATCAAAACCTAAGCAGCAACAAAAATCCTCTTAAATTATTCACAGCTAACAAAGTACTATATTTTAGTATGATCGATTTACTTTGTGTACTTCGCCTTTCTGGACTGCTTCCCTGTCTGTGGAGCTCCCATTTCACAGATGAGCTCACATCCTCCTGCTTAGGCACTCTCATGGAGATTCACCACTGCCGCCACCTCTCCCCACAACGTAGGAGATTCAAACCAGGAAACAGCCAGCCATCCAGTTTGGTCAGGTCAACAAGTTCTTACTGGTTTCTGTTCTATTCTCTTCAGATTCTCCCTTGGCACTCTCTCAAGTACAAAGTTTAAGAAGCCTTTCCTGTCCCTTTGTTCCCCTCCAACAGCTGTTTGCCCATTTTGCTACAAAGTTCTTAGTCTGTAAGCACAAAATCTTAATTCTCTATCATGTCACATTCTGCCATAGAGCCCCTGTTGGCTCCGATCTACTGAGTGCTTGTCAGTCTTCCTGTTGCATGCAAATTCTATAGGACTTGACTCTGCCCTTTGTTTCAACCTCTGATTTTTTTCCATTTTCCCACAGCCATTACATGTCATTTTTGCCTTGCATGTACCAGGATCTCTTTTAGGGATGCTCCACTTCCCATCCAGCTCCCTGCTTGTGGCATAGGAGAACAATGGAGGATGACCCAAAGTCTTGGGACCCCGTACCCACATGGGAGACCTGGATAAGTTCCTGGCTCCTGCTTTGGATTGGCTCAACTCCAGCCATTGTGGTCACTTGGGGGAATGAACCAGTGGATGGAAGATCTGTATCACTTTCTTTTTCTTTATAAATCTGCTTTTACAATAAAAATAAATCCAAAAAAAAAAGAGTCCCTCTTTGTCCCATCCACCATAATGCTGACATTTCTCAAATTTTCCTATCACTCTTCTTACTATGCTCTTCTCAAGTTATTTAATCCATATTCATTTTCTTCCATTCAGATCACTTCTCTCTGCCCAGCCACACTGTGTATCCCCCTATCCTACAGAGGATGCATTCCAAGACTCCCCCAGAAAATGCTGAAACTGCACATTGCGCTAAATCCTTACACTTATGTTATTTATACATCACACTGTAATACATGCCATACATCTGCGAACTGGGATGCCTACCACACGCCTAAGCAGTAAATGATGTATATGGAGTAAGTATGCTGAGCAGGGAGAGAAGATTCACATTTGGGGTAGAATAGGGAAAATTTCACCATGCTACTCAGGACAGTATGCAATTTAAATTTTTTCTGCAATTTTCTACTTGATATTTTTAGGACCATGAATGGCCACAGGTAACTGGAATTGTAGGACTCAAAGACAAGGAAGAACTACTACTCCCAGTTGCCAAGTGAGGCATTCATCTGAATGTCCCATCTGCATTAGATTTTCAGCATGAGCAAACACAATTCTCCTCCAGCTCTTTTCTCTGCAGCATCATTGCTTTTCGTTTTATGGCCAAACCAGAAATCCAGCCACAGTCCTGGACATCTTTTACACTTGACTCGCCGCTCTGCTGCTCCAGGCTCCACATTCTTTCATCCTCACTGTGGTCTTGCTATTGTTCTTGAACTAGTCTTTAAATATCCAGCCTCACTGTCCATGCTACAGGTTTGAAAATCATTCATCCCTCTCCAAGCTCATGTTGCAATTTGGTTCCTCATGTGACAATGTGGTGAGGCATTTCTACATTACATTGCTGCCTCGAAGTTTTCTCTGAATGCTCATGAAAATCGTAACTCACTGTGATTCTCAAGACCCTTCACCCTCTTGTTCCACGCGTGCCCTGTCTCATCTGTACTGTACTGCTCACAAACCAGAAGGTACCACATGTGCTCTTGGCTCCATGTCTCACCTACCCTCTTTGTTTGGACTCTAACCTAGTCAGTACCCACTCCTAAGACCCACATTAAGTGTCCTTTCTCTCAGTACGGGGACTTTTCTTCTCTTTGCTGCGGCCTCACTCTCCAAGCTGTCATGGCATACTTCGTTTTATAATGCCCCTCTGCTCTTTCATCTCTTACACTGCAGTTCTGTAGTAGTAGGCAAAGTGTCTTCTAACTTTGTAGAACCAGTACAGAGCAGCAGCAGTGCCTGGACCAAGTCAGTATTCAGCCCATGATTAAATGACTGGTGTGGAATCATCCTCAGTAATAATTCAGGCACGTGTCAAATATAACTGGAAGGCTTAACGACCACCTGTCCTAGATCATAGCTTGTTCCAGAAGAAGGCCTGTCTGGAAGAACTTTCTATATAGAAGCCCTGACTACAGTTAAATACTCCAGAAGAGCCATCCTGGTATCTGTGTCCTGTGTTTAACAAGGAAAAGTGATGCCTGAAAAAAATCTTGATTTTTGAAGCAAAGTAAATGTGTACATCATGAATCTCAAACACCAGAACCTAGTTGTTTAAGCAATATGTATGTCAAGATGACAATTCAATGTTTTAACAATCAGAAATTTATAAGCCCATCAACATATTCTATTTGAACTTTTGCTGCATTTATCAACTTAATAGTAGTGGTTTGGGGCTGGTGCAATGGCTCCATAGGCTAATCCTCTACATTCAAATACCTCCATTTCTTACAGGCACAGGCTCCTGTCTTGGCTGCTCCACTTCCCAACCTGCTTTCTGCTTGTGTGTGGCCTGGGAAAGCAGTAGGGAATGGTCCAAAGCCTTGGGACCCTGCACCTGTGTGGGAAACCAGAGGATGCTTCTGGCTCCTGGCTCCAGATCAGCTCAATTCTGGCCTTTGCAGCCATTTGGGAAGTGAACCAGTGGATGAAAAATCTTTCTGTCTTTTCTTCTCTCTGTAAATCTGACTTTTCAATAAAAATAAATCTTAAAAAAACCACAGTACTAGTACTAATAAAATAATTAACCTTCATGAAGTACTTTTTGTGCCAATTCTTGTGCTTTATGCTCTCCCATTTAGAACAAAGCCCCTCAAGGTACCTCTGCCTTTTCTCAACCTTAATAGAACTTGGGGCATTTGCTTAGGATATTTATTACACCCCACCTCCATCCCACCAGAGAGTTTTGGACTGTGTCCTGCCTTTGCTTCGATCCAGCTTCCTGCTTCTGCACACTCTGGGGAGGTAAAGATGATACCTCACATACTTGGGTACCAGCCACCCAGGTGACAGAGGCGGTAAAGCTATGCCCAGCCCTGGCAGTGCAAGCATTTGGGGACTAAACTGACATGTGGAAGCAGTTGGTTTCCTTCTCTTGCAAATAAATACAAGATAAACAAATATACTTAAAAGGAGATAATGGAATTCTGGCTCTTCAAAGTTTAGTATTTTTGCCTAAGATCACTTCGTCAGTCCATCTCCCATTGCTTTTGTGAATATTTTCACTATATGCTATGGAAGAAGAGAATTTGAGGTTAGTTTCTACTGTATATTACACTCCTTCTGCAAAATAAAATCATTCACTACTTTAGGATTGGTATGATTTTTGTTCCTCATTTTTTTTTTTTACCTCAAGCCTTTTCTTTATAAATTCAAGATGTTTATTACAATTTTTCAGAATTTCGGGTATTCTTTTGGAGATGATTATTTGCAAAGCATTCAGTCTGTTTTGTAGTTTGGATGTTATTTCTTTCCATGTGGAAATCACCTGAGAGAAAACTTTTGTTTCTTCTGGGAGCTGCCTTTAGAAAAAAAAACGGATGAAATTTTATATTTTTAAAGTCCTATGATTTAAATGTGCAACCTGAATACATTGCCACATTTCATGGTTTAATTTAGAAAGCACCTTTGTGCGTTTTATTTTTCTTCATCAGTCATTGATTAAAGGTAACTTCTGAGTGCTCACTTTAAATGAATAATACCCATACTAAGAAATGTAAGATCATTTAACAAGAGCATATTTACTATGTGGTAGAAGACAGATGTGCATGGATTCTACATAAAGTAGTGATTTGTGTGTCAATACATGGAATAAAACCAACCATGGGTGGAATTCGAGAGAAGCAGTGGGGTATGGAAGGGGCTTCCTGAACAGGACACTGCTTAATCTGGGTTCTGGAAGAGTAATCTGTTTATGACATGAGAAGGCAGTGGATGCTCGGTCCAGGAACAAGCATATAAGAGGGGTTCCCTGAACGATCTACTAGTCTTAGGGGATGAGGAAATGCGAGGCAGGGGTCAGTCCTGGTAGGGAAAGTTTCCTTCACAGAATATTATCACTGTTTCCTCTCCTCTGAGAGCAGCATGTGGCTGCCTCTCCACATGCACATTGCTAATCTGCTGATAATGTTTGTTCTGCTGTTGAAGTATCTTCAAAAGTTGGTGGGCCAGCTCCTTCCTCTCTGCTCAGCTGGGTATCCCACAGCCATCCCACCCTAGTCATTTCCTTCAAATGCTTCATGCCTTGAAGTTGAGCGAGGAGGCCGTGAGGGGGAAGTCTTTAGGTGTGTGACATTTGATTTGACCTTCATGCACTAGATGGCAGCTAAAAAATGTTGATAGACTTTGCAAAATGTCCCCAAATATGTAAAATCATACCTGGCCAACACTGGTCTAGCATACTCAAGCATTCTTTCTCCACAGAATTCTCCAGAGGAGGGAAGCCCCCTCCTAGACTCTAAATGTCAATTTCTCCTGAGAATACTTCCACCATCATCACCTTCCACACCTTGGGTGATTGCCCTAGACATGTCTGCAGCTTGATCAAAGTCCGATTAGGAAATACCATGTCAATTAATGCCATAAGGTTGTAAATGGCTGTTGATTTTATGTTCCGGCTTTTAATTGATTGGGATGATAATCTGCTGGCTTTACCTTCAGACCAGAGATGGTCTCACCAAGAAATCGTTGAACCCACTAGGATAATAAGACACTGGACTTTATGCTTGGTAAATACTTTCAATGAAAGAACCTCAACTGAATTTGAACTGCGGTAACGCAGCAAGGTGGAGAAATCCACCATGGGGAGAGGGTTCGGTGAGGTGTGGGGGGAAATCCCAGTGCCCATAATGCAATGCCATTAATAAAAAAAAAAAGTCCGATTAGGAGAGGAACTTGGATGTTCCCTTCTGCTAAGCACTCTCCCAACTCCTCTGGTGTTACGGTGAGGCTTGAGTCTCACCCATTCCCTTCACAACATTCTCCCTTAAGATGGATCTTTTGTTCTTTACTGCTTCCCCCACCCTCCCTGCCCCGATGCTTCCCATTGGGATCAGGGCTCATTGTCCCTCTGCATCAAACTATGGCCTATTATAGTCCATTTTTTTCTTTCCTTTAGACATATTTATAAGTGCTTTCGGCATCCCTTGTTTAAAAGCATCTTTTCAATCTCAGTAAATCCTGTAAAAGAGCAACGAGCAGTGGTATTTTGATACTTATGTGTTTGGCTCTTCTATTAAGAAATTTTTACTAAAATGCAATAATGAAACTTAAAGTTGAGCCTCAAAGCTGTTGCAACCATTATGGATATGCTTAACTATGTGTGTGTGAGTGTTTTTTTTTTTTTTTACAACCATCTGCAGGTTAACAGGAGAATACCAAGCTTTTGTAGGATACATAATAATACGTATAAAATATGGACATTATTCCCAGAAAAGCAGTTCTTTTTCAAGCTTTTGATAGCTATTCTTTTCCCCCCAACTTATGCTTAGTATACTTATCTTGATATGAGTGGTCTTTCTTACCGTGCAAACCTTTCACTCACATACTTCATGACCTCCCATTTTATTTCAGAATGGCTCCTACACTAGCTTGTATGATTTACTCTGAATCATTAATGATTCCTAGATAGTTTCTTGGGTAACCATTCATCTCAACCAAGGCACTATTAAGACTATTAAGTGATTACCCTTAAGAGTTAAAAGCTAATTGATTTTAATACTATGAATAAAAGCAAATATAGAATTTTTAAGATAGTTTCCCAGGTCTTCTATTCCTTTACCTGGTCCAAATAAAAAAAATCTTATTAAAGTATGAAGGCTACTAAAAAGTGTTTTTTACATATATTAAAACAACACTGATATTCCAGAAGTAAACAGACCCATCAAAGTATCATTTAAGGAAGATAACAACACATCTGACACTTTGCCCCACGGTCCTTTATACATATTCATGTTAATAATTGTGAAGGGGTGGGCACTTGGTCTTTGTGGGTAAGACACCTGTTAAGATGCCCATGTGCCATATCAGAATGTCTGATTTCAATATCCACCTCCACCTCCTAACGTCAGCTTCCTGCTAACGCAGGCCTATAGAATAATAAAAAATAATAATAATAAAAAAGGGAAGAAGACAGTAGCAAGTGGAGTTCCTTGATCCATGTGGGGATCCTGAGCCAGTTCATGCTCCTGCTTTGCTCTGTCTGTGCATCTGAAGAGTGCAGTAGTGGATGGGGTGTTTGTGCACACACTCCTTATATCCAATAGATACAAATTTTTAGAATTGGAGAAATAAGGCTTTTTTCCTAAATGTTAATACTTTTAAACTTCCTGTGAAAGAAAAAAGTTTTTACTGAGCACATTATACTCAAATGTCTATACTGTTCATTTCTTAAGGATTACAGAAGGTAACCAACCACTTTTTTTTTCTTTTTCCAAATCTTAAGTGGGGTATTTTAAGTTTTTTTGTTTTTTTTTTACCTTTGTATTTCTAGACAGTTAAAGACTGGCTCAACATGAAGCCAGTTTCGTTGACAAGTCATCCATTCCTCAAGGGCATAAGAGAACACAGTCAGGTTATTAGTCCATTCATGCACAAGATCCTGCAAGGACAGAAACAAATATCTGGCAAATATACAAAATTGTAAAGAGTCATAAAATAGAAACTAAGATGAACAGTGATTATCAGTCACTGTATTTCATTTTTGAAGTTTGAGATGTTTGTTTACCCAATTCTCTTATTATGTATACATCTTCTCAAAAAGGTTTGAGTAACACATATAGACATACAGAATTAAGCATAAATATTTCCCATTCAACATTTGTTTCATAATTCCTATCACAGAGGAAACACCATTAGGGAGTCCGTACGTTTTTTCAGCACTTTCCCCTTCAGCATAAAAGCAATTGTATTATTCTGCAATTCACTTTTTAAGAGATATCATTTTAAAATGATTTCAGAAATTTCTGTCATGTGGATATAACAAATCGTTTCCAAATATTATATTAAAATAGTAGAAAAATCATGGCAAATACATTAATGCTGAAATGCTTATTTGAAGATAATGAATTGGGCCATCCTTTTATCTGGCTACTCAAAAATAAAACCACTTGTAACTCATTTGTATTCGTTTTCTGATATTTACTTCCGTATGTCTTGATTTTTGAAAGTTTTATCGAAGTATGACTGATAGGTGGCAAACTGCACCATTTATAGCTGCATAGATTTTAACGTCTGCTTATACCTGTGGAATGATTAGCACAATGAAGACAATAAAAATCCATTACATGGAAAGGTTCCCTGTACAAACCCTTCCTCTACTCCTGTCTTACTTCTCATGCATGAACACGACACATCAATCTTTCACGCGAGTCCTAATTTCTGAGGGGTTTTTAGTTTTCCTTGCACAGACACTACACACCCATGTTTTGTCAGATTTACCTAAAAATATCACATTTAATATTATTGTAATTATTAAAAAATTTCAATATCTAATTGTTCAGTACCGATAGCTAGATTGAAGTTGATTCTTCTAGGATAATCTCCTGCCCCAAAAACTTCCTAAAATTCATTTACTTTTTCTCAAAATAGAATTCATTGGTTTTAAATAGGTGCTTAGTATTAAATTCATGTGAATATAAGGAACATTTTATAGGTTTCTATTGCTTAACAGATGGACTAGGATTTTTCTTGCAATGGTGACAGGATGTCGTAGGGAAGGAGGTTGCAATATTCCACCAGTAAGCAGCATATTAAATGCATCTTTTGGTCCTCACAGGTGTCCTTTATCTGGCTAGGGATGCTCTCTTCTTGTTCTACACTGCTGCTGCTTTCCACTGGATGTTGTATTTTTTAAAAGCAGGTGTATGTGTGTGATCAATTACATTAATGCTGCCATTGACTATATCATTGTGCCTATTTTTGTTCCTTCCTGGAAGCTTTAAAATGATTTTTGGGCATTTCATTGGATAGTGGGCTGCCTGATGGGAAATAATAAGAAAACACTGAACATTGCTGGCAAAATTCAGAGTTTGTAGGATCATATGTTTTTAAGGTCTACATTTATTTTGTCCAGTCTGATTAAAATTTCTGACAGTGCTCAATCCTCATTGTTTTCAAAGTTAGTTTCTGTACTCAAGCTGTTAATCTCATTCCTAAATATATAAATGCTTTACATAATCCAAAGTCCAATAAAAAATCACAGAATGGAAAAAATCAAAGTGAACAGAAGTTGAGAAAATTAAAGCATTTTCTTTTTACTGTAATGCTGACCTTAATGGGCCCAACGTAGGGAGAGCCTTTAATTGTTGCCAGTATGACTTGAGAATCTTCTAACTGAGCGAATATGTCATCCAAGGATGAAATTATTAAGACAGAATAGTTCTCTGTGCGATGAAGGACTAAATGTAAGGGCGTGGTATTCCAAAGATGAACAATCTTTGACAACAGCTTTTCAAGAGCAGCTTCATTAGTTGCTGAGGCGGACACTTCTTTGATCTCATGCTCATAATAAAATACCTAAAATGAACAGACTATTAAAACTGAGTTGGGCAAACAATTCCTGGTACATTTAAAATGCAAACCATGAAGGTACACTTTGAAAGGATCATCATGAATAACGGTGATCCAGTTTCACATTGGGTTTCCATACTAACCAGAAACACCATGATCTAACCCTCAGGTCATAGGCCTTTTCAGCTTTTAAACCACCTACCTAAAGTTTTCATGCTCTGTGAAATTTCTGAATTTTCTTCTTACTTTAGTCATAATGAAGAATATGCATCCTCTGCCCATATGCAGCTGATGTTTACATCAGCTTTCTCTCCTTTGCACTAATAGCAATGGTATTTTCTTTAGTTTGGCTCCTTTATTCTGCCAACTGCTGAATTAATTGTGTGGAATTTTACTCTCCAATCTTGGGCTATATTCAGCTAAGAGAATGAAGCTCTAACGAACCTCAGTTCATGATTTCCCTTCCTTTACCACATGTCCTTGACGACCTGTCTCTCAAAATACATTGGCACTCTGTAAATGGGACTTCTTGCCATGTGTATCAACTTCCAGTTCCCCCTGGATAAATTCAAAGAATGTCACACTCACCACAACAGAGGTAAACACAGAGCTTTCCATCTCTACAGCTTCACATTCACTACCTAAGCTGATGACTTTGAATCCCTGGTTAGAAATAAGAATCCATCACCACTCCCTTGATCATTTCCACGGAGTGAAAGAATGAGAGTTGGGGGCCCAGTACAATTGCTCAGCTTGTTTCTAAGCGGAAGACGCCTATTCCCACAGTTTTGGGAGAGTTCAAATTAGAGTAGTTTACATATGAACAAAAGTGAGCAGCTCCAGTCTCATTTTTAGCTTCTGAAATTGCTGTACCTAGGAATTAGCTACTCCCCTGTTTCTACCTGCTCTAACTTTTGTTGCTTGCTATTATACTTACTCTCTACCCAAGACTGAAAAATCACTGTATTGGGCTCGGTGTGATGATTCAGTGGCTAAATCCTCACCCAGTATGGGTGCTGGTTAGTGTTGTGGCTGCTCCACAACACTATCCTGCTGCCTGCTCATAGCCTGGGAAAGCAGCATTCAATGGCCCAAAGCCTTGGGTACTTGCACCCACGCAGGAGATCTGGATGAAGCTCCTGGCTCCTGGCTTTGGATCAGCTCAGCTCTCACTATTGTGGTCATTTGGGGGAGTGAACCAGTGAATGGAAGATCTTTGTGTCTTTCTCTCTGTAAATCTGATCTGCCTTTCCAATAAAATAATTAAGTCCTTAAAAAATGAAAAATCATTGTATTATTGACAAGTGGTAGATTTTTAGCATGCTGGTTTGAATCAACTTAGCTGTTGGCAACGGCCCTTACATCCTGAAGTTATCTAGGTATCATGTTGAATCCCTCATTGTCACACAGACCAGTAAGGATAATAATAAGCTCTAATAATATCTCAGGAAAAGAATATTTAAATGGGATGAGTGGGAGAGAGCAAGAAAAAATTCAATGATTCTTCCATGATTTTTAGTGTAACTAAAACAATGAAGGTACTACCACCAACTGATATGGGGAAGATGCACTGTAGATTTTGGTAAAAGGAGAATGAAAAGTGAACACATTTGTCATGCTAACTGTGAAATATCTCTTAGAGATGCAAGTGGTGACCCTGAATAGGAAGTGGGATATGTAAGTCTGAAGTTCAGAAATGAAGTTGAGATTAGGACTGAAAATCAAAATAATTAATTTTTAAAAATAAATTAGCTTTTTGAAGTTTTTTTAAATCCCACATTCCTCATCACAACAGATCATTTGCTAGACTTAAAGATTTTAAATGCTGGTTATTGTTACATATCATTAATCATGAAACATTAAATCTAGATGAAGCTTATTGTAAGATGTGCATGGCAAGGAAACATTTGAGTCTTGAGAATACTGGAAAATGTGTTTTTATATTAAAACTTATATGGCAAAGCTTATTAAAGTTTTTAAAATGTAACAGTAAACTATTGGTAAAACTATCCTAACATGTTCTTAATAATATATTAATTTTATACAAAACAGAACTACAGTAATTTTGATTTTCCTATTCCTTTAAGACATATTCTGTTAGTAGTAGCATGGCCAAATAATACAATATTAATTTCATTTGTCGTGCATGAAAATTAGTATCACTCATTTCTAATCACAAAGATTATAATGGTATGAAGAGTCACTCACTCAGCCTCTCCACTGAAATTTAATTTCCTCCCACCTATTGTCTGACAGACTTATTCTCCTATTCTGATAGCTGATTTTACTAATTCCTGACTTTTGTACAATCACTTACCTACTTACAATTGGCCCTTCTGGTATTCAAGCTATTTTCATTTACCTGGTGGTTTAGAAGGTCCTCGATTGTATGGCTTTTGGAAAGGGTAACGGACTTCCCAGTGATTTCCTGGAGAGCCTCCCAATGCCTGGGCTTGAGATGAGGGTTTCCCAGGGCTACGATGACAGGCAACTTGTGCTTAAACTCTGTCACTGATTGCTTAAGATTTGTGAGCACATCATTGGCAGGCAAACCTATAAATTACAAAAAGGCAGCAGGTCTATAATATTTTCATTGTATTTTAGCAGAAAATTGATAACGTACAATTTTTTTAGAACTTTAACAACCTTAAATCAGTTCTTTGGAATTTGAATTGTAATAAAAGACAATAAGCTTTATTAACCTTACCATTTTATAAGAATCAACGATAGATTAAAATAAAAAGATAATTATCAGGACAGGTGACTAAAATCCCAGATGATTAAAGCCCAGTAACTGCAGTACTTCCCCAATTTTCACAGACTAGATAAATATAGAGCTGGATACGTATACGCATACATACACACACAACTGTTTTATATTTTGAACTTTTAAATTTGGTTAACTGAGAACATTAAGCATAAAAAAAGATCACATCGGGCCTGGTGGCATGGCCTGTGGCTAAAGTCCTCACCTTGAACATGCAGGGATCCCATATGGACGCCGGTTCTAATCCCGGCAGCTCCACTTCCCATCCAGCTCCCTGCTTGTGGCCTGAGAAAAGCAGTCGAGGACGACCCAACGCTTTGGGACCCTGCACCCATTTGGGAGACCAGGAAGAAGTTCCTGGCTCCTGGCTTCAAATTGGCATAGCACTGGCTGTTGTGCTCACTTGGGGAGTGAATCATCGGATGGAAGATCTTCCTCTCTGTCTCTCCTCCTCTCTGTATATCTGACTTTCCAATAAATAACTAAATCTTAAAAAAAAATCACATCTACTACTACCATTTTTAAAAAGAAAATATTTGTAACACTGAAATATAGGAAATGTAGATGACCTGTTCTCTGGCACTGGCAAACCATGGAATGAGGAAGCTCAAAATTTACAAGCTTTGTAACTTATAAGCTCACAACAAACCACGGAATGATGAAGCTTAAAAAATTTTGAATGTTTATCCTTATAACTTACTTTTTGCTCAATTTAGAAAAAGGGTGGAAATACATAGACAAAACTGGGGACTCATGAGAATTAAAAGCCATACACGCATAACTTGTAATGATAAGACTTCCTTTATAAAGCTCTACTGATTAGCAACGTATTTATGAAGACCTTTTAGAATCAGATGTCACAAGAGTAACGGGGCTTTTGCCATTTGAGTCTTTGACAAAGAGCAAAATTTCATCCAGGAAACTACAAATAAGGGAAAATATTGTCTACTTGTTATTTTGAAACTTGTCCTGGGAAGCCAGGGCAGGACAAGCTGGAAGGTGTGGATGCAGGGTCAGGCTGAAACAGAAGATTCTGATGGCCTGAAGCTTCTCTAAACTTTGTGTGACACTACTGTATAATTTAGAAGAAACACACAAATTTTTTTTTTTCTGGAGAAGACATTTAACCTGTGGGAGCCCAGGATGTCCTCTTGGCCAGCCTGTGCCCTTACACTCTCACCATGGCTGCACTTACGCAGCACCAAGATTTCAAACTGGATGATTAGCAATGTGGAAAGATCTCTCCAAATGCCTTTTTGGCTTTCTCCCACTCCTGAAAGATCACCTTAAGTAGACACAGCCAGGATCTGGGTAGGCAATGGTGGATGATTATTATCAGAATACGTAAGCAAGGCCTTGGGACGCAGCATCAAGGTTAGTGGACTGTAATTCTACTCAGCTTTTAACAAAAGATTTTAAAATAGTCTTTTTTTTTTTTAAGATTCTTTGGTAAAATTTTGATCTTTTTCTTGGTTCACCAAATAGTTTCTGTCTGTACAGTTTCTAGCTATATCTCTCTGCCTCTGCCTGCAGGTGAATGTAGCATGGCCAGCCATGGGCCTCTATGAGCAGTCCTGGGGCAGAAAATTTAACAAACACACTCACCTTTTTCCAGTGAAAGGATTGTGTGCATGCACTTGAAGACATTTTTCTGTATTGATTCTACATCAATAGCATGAAGAAAACAATTCTTCCATCCCCGAAAGAGGGTACCCCATTCCTCTCGTGTTTCCCATAGCAACTTCCTCAGACTTAAGTCACTCTGGATGTCAGAGATTTCTGTGAACACAATCTGTGTAATTTCCTCCATCGTGAGAGAATGCATTGAGAAGTGGCAGTCGTCGAAGCGGTCCTGATAGCCGGAACATGATCTCACTCTGTGAGCTAAGCTTGCAGCCTCCTCAGACAGGGTCTGAATCATCTCCTTAGCAGTTGCCATTTGAGTCCCAACACACAACAGAACAGGGGTTCTTATCTGAAACAAAAAAAGTAAAAAACCGCACTGTCCATAACTTAATGTTCTACTGACAGAGCCCTGTGGCTGTGTAACCTAAGTGTTGTTAGCAACTTGGAACTGTCATCACCATGTGCTCCAAAGTCCTAGCACGATGTTAGTTCCTAACACTTGTTAAACCGTGGGCTCTTCTGGGCAGTCCGTTGACATCTATGATTGTTTTTGTTGACTATATTCATTCATAGGTAAAGAGAACGCTACATCCTAGTCAATGAAAACACTTGTAGAGAGGTAATTTTATTTCCCATTCAAGCTCACAAATCACCAAAATTGTGTCTGTGAACCCCAAGGTGGGAATACTTGGTTTAGATCAGCCAAGAGTTCATGAAAAGCACAGATCCAAACGCATGGCATCCATGACACTAAGAACAAAATTTTAATGGGAAAAAAATGCACTAAAAGGACTCACTTTTGTTTTTAAATTACTAACATCAACCCGTAGACCAGTGACATATGCTTCCAAATTGTCTCTGAATTTAACCATGGTAGCATCTTTGTTTGTTTCATGTAACTTCACTGAAGTTTTCAGTTGACTGAACTTGGCCAGGAGGACTTGATACATTGCAATTAGCTGTTCTGAAATATGGATCTGGATATTCTGCACAACAGAATACAGTTGAGAAATTGCCACATGCTCAGTTTGCAACTGAGATATTTTTGAAGAAATTGTGTCCAAAAAACCAAAATGTTCCACAAATTCTTCTATTTCAATGGGATTACATTCCAGCTGTCACAAAGATGATTCTACGACCTGCAATCATTAACATGTCAATTATAATCATGTAATGACTTTTTACTCATTTAGAAGACCATTTAATTTTAATGATATAAATGTAATTTCAGAAAAGGCATCACACAGATATGATTTAATTACTAGGACATCAACATGATCAAATCCTGCTGTTCACAGAATGTGTCTGAATGTGTATCACATATAAAATAAATGCTACTAAGACATGAAAGTAAAATTCTGATTATTTTAAGGAAATAAATGTAATGAAAATAGCAAGAGTATAACTGGTGTTTGAATAGCAATGAGTGTCGGGTCTTGAACATTTATGTACTAGAATTTTAAAATTTTTATAATTTATGCAAAGTGGACAAATTTCATATATATCACAATACATATATTTTTAAATGATTTTTTATTGGAAAGAAAGATTCACAGATTCACAAAAAAAGAGAAAGATTTTCTATCTGCTGGTTCACTCTCCAAGTGGCCACAATGGCTACAGCTGAGCTGATCTGAAGCTAGGAGCTTTTTCCAGGTGCAGGGTCCCAAGGCTTTGGGCCATCTTCTGCTGCTTTCCCAGGCCACAAGCAGGGAGCTGGATTGGCAATGTAGCAGCTGGGACACAAACCAGCACTCATATGGATCCCAGCGCTGGCTAGCAAGGATCCAGTCACTGAGCCACTGCACAGTATAACATTCAGTTATACTTTCAAAGATCAATTTTCAGTCTCCAAAAATTGACTTTTTACATATGTCTTCATGTTTTCCCTTAATTATATTTTATTATAAAAATAGATCACCATGCAAAATAAAGTTTATACAGGGGGACCTGTCATGATAGCCTAGCAGCTAAAGTCCTCGCCTTGCATTTTTGGGATTCAAATGGGCGCTGACAAGGAGATTATTCGGCTATAAAAACAATGGAATTCTATCACTTGCAGCAAAATGGTTCAAACTGCCATCATGTTGACTGAAATAAACCAAACACAGAAATATTGTCTGGTCTCCCTCATATGTGGAACTCAAATAAGAAATCAGAATGTGAGTGAGTTATCTGCACCCCTATGTTTATTGCTACTCAATTCACAATAGTAAGATTTGGAGTCAATCCAGATGACCATTACCTGATGACTGGATAAAGAAAATGTACATATATACTACGGAAATACTACTTAGCCATAAAAAAAAAAAAACACTTTTGTCTTTTGCAACAAAATGGATACAACTGGAAACTATCATGCTATTATGCTTAGTGAAACAGACCAGTCCCCAAAATGCAAATATCTTGTCTTCCCAGATCTATAGTAACTAGTATACGGACTATAAAAACATTTAATATATGTGAGTGAAACTGACATTTTGAGATTTAGTTACAGCCCTTATCTCTTGAAGCAAAGTAGTTTCTTAAACATACTATTTGTTGAATTCTTTATTTAATGAAGAATTAAACTTGTGATTATAAAATAGACTGCAACTATGCCATTCTAAAAATCATAAGAAAAACCAAGAAAAGCAGGAGAGAAGAACCACTAAACTCTAAAATCTGTATATATGAAATACATGAAATTCGCTCATCTTCTATAAATAAAAATGTAATAAAAAAGAAAAAAGTGAAAGGAGGGAGGAAGTGAATGATATAGGATATAATTTTGGATGTCAAAAATTTTTAAGGGGCCCTGCACCGTGGCCTAGTGGTTAAGTCCTAGCCTTGAACATGCCGGGATCCCATATGGGTGCCGGTTCTAATCCCTGTAGCCCTGCTTCCCATTCAGCTTCCTGCTTGTGGTCTGAGAAAGCAGTCAAGGACAGCCCAAAACCTTGGGACCCTGTACCCGTGTGGGAGACCAGGAAGAAGCTCCTGGCTCCTGGCTTTGAACTGGCTCAGCTCCAGCCATTGTAGCCGCTTAGGGAGTAAATCATCAGATGGAAGAGCTTCTTCTCTGTCTCTCCTCCTCTCTGTCTATCTGCCTTTCCAAGAAAAATAAATAAATCTTCAAAAACATTTTTTCCAAAGATGTGAGTTTTGATCAAGGACAGGAGCATGTTAGCACATCAGAATTTTTCAGAGAATACTAATCATATATACGTTACAAGTACTTTTTAAAGTTACCAATTCTTATCTGGCAGATTCTTACACAATAGGAATTTTCCAAATACTCACTGCCAGTAGATTTGCATTTTTTCTTTCGATGACTGATTCCAACAGGGTGTGAACCACCTGTACGGAGTTGTCAACACAGGGTAAACACTGTGACTGATATTCCAGAGTTGTAACTTTGAAAATACCAATGCGCTTTTCAATGACCATATCCACCATATGCCCGTGATAGTTTCGGAGTTTATTGAGTAGAATTTTAAACTCTTTTGGAGTTAATTCTCCCACGGATGGCAGTCTCACACTAATGATCTTGGCTTTCCCGATCATGATGTTGTACTTGATGAACGTGGAGCTGTAGTCATTGACGAGGCCCATGCAATCACCAATGATGGTCAGGAGATTCACAATCTGCAAGTGGACATGCAGAAAGCTTGTCAGCATGTTCATCTCCAGAGTGAAGAAAGTGAGATGTGGGATCCATTTTGTTTGGAGCCTTAATTAACTGTTTAGATATGCTAGAAACAGCAGTTTAGGAAGCACAGGTAACTTTCTAATAATCGGATTTCGTGTAAAGTTTCACTCGGCTATTGGACTTTAAAATTGAAGAGACCAATCTGTTGTTCCCTTGCTCACCACACATTTTAGAGTAAGGCGTGTAGCCTTAGGAAAGGCTGTAATAGATTCCTGTAGGACATACAGCCTCATCCAATTCCAAAGGCAAAGCCAGTTTAGATAGGGTGGAATTCTGACCTAAAACACAGCCGATGAGAGTCTTTTGTAAATTTGAACAAAGACATCTAGATAGATGTCCCTGTGCAGCTTTGGGGGCTGGCAGATCAACTTATGTTATGGGAGCCAGAAAAGAAAGCTCATTTTCATATTGGAAGCTGGAGGAAACAGAAGTGAGCAGAAGTAAGTTTATGGGGAAGGCAATGGAGAAGAACATTGGGAATGAGTTTCAAGTTGACATGAATTATGATACTCTAACTTTTAAAAATCCACCTAAGTGGTCATCTACCCTTTAACCAAGCATTTCCCCAAACCAGCTGTGTCATAGCTTACTTTATTCTGGTAGTCAGGATCCATTTCAAAAAGTAGCTGATGATCTGGCCATTCAGTCTTTTTAGTTTTTTTTAGACATTCTCTATCATTAGATAAACTCGTAATTGGAAGCAAGTCAGTAAATATAGAGAGCCGGGCACCTTGGCATAGAGGAGTGATTGTGGCTAAAACACATAATTCAGAAGTCAATATTTGCATATTTCTCAAAGTCACACTTCAGAATTATCCATGACATCTAGGATTATTGAAGACAAAGGCTTTTTTGTTTAGGTTAAGCTCTATTGTTATGATGCATGAAATTTAATACTGGAGCCAGGTTTGGATTGAATATTACACAAATGAAAGAACCACAGATAGGTAGTGGGGTGATGGTGAAGGAGGGAGGTCTAATTTACATGGAAAACAAAAATATATCCGTGAACACATATTCATATTTGGAATTTTCTATTAAAGGGAACACAAAGTTGGAACACAGTGTCTGCTGTCAGTTCATAGGCTGGCTGGACAGCTGATGTTCGTAGGCAAAAAGAAAACAAACAGCTGGGTGAGACAAATGCTTCGGTTTTTTCCTCTTCCTCCTATACCCACAAGTGGGGAGGGCAGTGGGGCCTGCTCTTGCTGCATCGATGCCCAGGGAAGGAGTTGGTCATTTGATGTCTAGGTAAAAAATTTTTAGACACAAAACGAAAGCACAATCTATTAAAGAAAAATCTAAAGAATTATACTTTTAGCAAAATGAACAAGAATTTAAACACAGGGCTTGACCTGGGAGAAAATGTCTTCAAGTCACATGTAAGCTAACAGACTCAGCTCAGGGCACATATAAAGACCTTTCACAACCCAACTTAAGAGTAAACAAACACTCCCAATTTGATAAAAGAAGATACACAGATGGTAGATTAGCATGACAAAGAGTAAAAAAACATTAATTATTAATGGAGCACAGATTGTCACAAGGAGATATCACAAAGCATCTATTGTCAGAATTTTTTCATTAAGCCATTCTAATATCAAGTACTGATAAGAATATGGATGGACCAGAACTCATATTTGCTGTTAGGAATGCAAAAATCATACAATCACTTTGGAAACCAAATATGGCATTTTTATCAAGTGAAACATATATCTACTTATGATCTGGCAATCCTACACCTAAATATTCGCACACAAAAAACCCCAAAATGTGTTCATGCAAAAACCTGTATGTGAATCTTTTTAGAAATCTTTTTTTAAAGATGTATTTATTTTTATTGCAAAGGCAGACATACAGAGAAAAAGGAGAGACACAGGGAAAGATCTTCTGCCACTGATTCACTCCCCAAGTGACCTCAACAGCTAGAACCAAGCCAATCCAAAGCCAGGAGCTTCTTCTGAGTCTCCCATGTGGGTATAGGGTCCCAAGGCTTTGGGCCCTCCTTTACTGCTTTCCCAGGTCATAATCAGGGAGTTGGATGGGAAGCGGGGCCTCTGGGATTAAAACCAGGACCCATATGGGATCCCGGCATCACATGCAAGGCTAGGACTTTAGCTACTAGGCTACTGCACTGGGTCCTGTTTTTAGAAATCTTACTCATAATTGCTCAAGACTAGAAACAACCCAGGTTTGAATGGATAAACAGTCTGTTTATGGTATGTGGTACATCTAGACAGTGAACTACAGCTCAAAGAAACAGAACATTGAGTTAGCCAACAGAAGGGATGAGTGTGCCACTCCCTCCAGTGAGTTTCAGATCTGGATTCTTGTGTTAGGCTTCTACCATGGTCTCCACAGCCCTAGTTCCTGGCTCACCAGTCTCCACCTCCTGTGATCCCATGTTGTGGCTACACCATTATCTGTACAAACTTTCTCCCACTTCAGGATCAAGCAGTTCCCAGAATTGGGGAAACACCATGTGTCCTAAATGGCTAGGTTGTTGGTGGTGCTGCTATGGCTGGAAACTGCTAACCATTGGGTCTGAGGGCCACCCAGACCTATTTTGACCAGAAGCCAAAGTCTGTATTATTTTCTATGTGAGATCAGTGCAATACACTGAGCTGGAAGTGAGTTTGCTCCCAGTTTAGTGCATGTGTAGCTCACTGTTGTCCCTCCAATGTTCGCCTTTGCCACACTGTACAAAATGGCACCTGATGTGCGACTCAAGGAGTTCTGGACCTGCTAGTTATTAAATCTAGGGGATACCTGGACCTATTTTGGGTGAAACCTGTAGTATGCCATGCTGGCCAGAAATGAGTTTGCTCCCAGCTTAGTGCATGTATAGTCCTGTCCCAAAGCTTTTACTTCTCTACACAAAATGGTGCCCAATGCAACTCTGGTAGGGTTCTGGGCTATAAATTCCACCCTGTTCCCACACCACCTGTATGGGATTTGCTGCTCTGTCTCTGCTCCTGGTCAAATCAAACAAATCAGCAGGATGGGCAGCTTTTTGCCTGGGTTCATCTGCTAAGCTCCCAGTGAACTCCCCTCCCCACTGGCTGCTGGTGGAGTTCTGGCCACCAGTGGAGCTCTAATCACTGCCCCGACTGCCACTGGAGTATCTGGTCAGTGCAACAGCACACCGTTGTCTGCTGCTTTCCCGCGTCTGTCAGTCTCCAGGTGTCCCTCTACAGAAAGCCTGTCTTCCAGCCTATTTGCTGGAATGTGCCATCTCTTCTTCCCCCTGGTTAATGATTCTCAATCTGTTTAAATGTGTCCTTATCCTGGTCCATCATCTTGATCCTACCCCCATCATTTCCCTTTCTCACTCTCCATTTCCCCCTCCTGCTATTGTTTCCTGCATTATCACAATAGTGTAGTCCCTTAGTTCAAGTTACAAATTTATCTTTCTGACATTTAAAAGTGTCATACAATTCTAAAGTGCATGATTGGGAACACTGAAGCTTAGGGCTATTTTCCTAATTCCCATCTTTCACATATTTTTTGGTTAGGTATACAGTTCACAAATGTACACTTCTGGGTCCCAAATAGTGAATTTAGAAGAAATTTCTGATTTCCTAATATTGTGCAACATCTGCCACATCCTTGAGTAAAAGCTTCAGATACTAACATGCAAGAAAATACTACCAAAAAAGGCGATGCATTGCTTTAAATATTTAAGATACTTACTTATACGTTTTTCAATTTTGGCCAACATATCTTGAATTTTCATAGAAAACTCCAATCTGTTAGGATCCACAGAGAGATGGATAGGGAAAGCTGAAAGTCTGAGAAAAAATAAACAATAAAAGCATTGCCCAGAAGAATATAATAAATATAAAATATAATTACTTGCCATTTCAAACCAATGAAATCCTACCATTTGCAACAAAATAGATGAACCTGAAGAATATATCAAACGAAATAAGCCAGACACACAAATATCACATCTTCTCTTATTTGAGGAAATCAATATACAGAGAATATTTGTGTGGACATCATATCATTTGGAATATAGTTAAATATCACTTCACCAAATAATACCAAATCTGACAATATGCAGAGCCTCTGCTCCCATTAATGATCAGTATCATGAATCCCCCGCTTTGTGATATTAACAATTCCATTTTCAGGAAAAATAGTATATATGAGTATAATGTCCTCATATAATGTGAATGTGGCAAACTGTTAAGTTTTAAAGCAAAAAAGCACAGGCTTATAAAAAGGAAAAAAGTTGAATACTTACTCGCCATATATGCACTTATTCGCAAACTCAGTTGTGAATTCTGTGTCTGTAAGATGTCATTGAAACAAAGAAAATAAAAAGGTGATTGACACTGATTTCAGATAAATGACAAATCAATGTATTTCAGAGATTTCCAGATGACCTAAAAATAAGTTAGCGAGCCCACTGAAAGGTAGGATGCAACCAATAGATGCCAGTTCCTTGGGGGACAAAGGAGATCTCAACTGGAGCCAGGAGTACCTTTGTAACACACACCTGCTACTGCTCATGCTGATGGAGAAAGGCTGAGACCCCTCCCAGCAAGAAGCTGTAAATATATCCCGGTGAGGGGAATGACAGTGTTGTAACTGACAGGTGCCATGAGTGATCTAAATATGCAAGCTTACTTTTAGCACCATCTAAAATGGGTAAAACCCATCTTTCATGAGCTGATAATACACAAATGATGAACATTTTCCAACATATGTTTCACTGGCTAAGACATTTCATTTCATTTTCAGTAGTTTTTTGTCCTACCTGATAGAATATACTCGAGGCTGTACAAGGGCTTGTTTGTTTCCTTGGTTTTCTGGAGTTCTTCAGAGAAGTTACAGCTGTCATAGTAGTAGTCTGCATTCTCCGACTCTTTGGCATCTTCGCACAGCACGTACTTTTCAGAGTATTGGTCGGCACATTCATGAAAGCTCTCTTTGGAGTCTTCTGATGAATTACTCTCAGTATACTCTCTCAAGCGCAGATTTACTTCAAATATTGGTGCATATATTGTTTGCAAATTCAAAGTCTAATTTAACAGATAGGTTAGAATGCCAATGACAACATGTAACCAATGAATAATACACTGAGATTTGCAATGATAGATTTTAACTCTAGTCTAACAGAATAGTCCCATATTACCACGTATCTAATGCTTGTGTGTTAAAATAAATCCAACATGACCTAACTGGTAATTTATGACAGATTCTCCCTCCTCCACCAAATTGTGTAGATTGATGTCAGAGTAGATACATATTAGTAGCATGAGAGAGTATCAGAGACATACTTTCTTAGACCCCATCACAAGAGATTTGCGGACAGAGTCCAGGACTTGAGATCAGCTTCAAGTTCAACGGCAATCCTACACTGCACTCAGCTTTAAGAACTATGAATAAGAAACACACTTCAAGTCCATGATTACAGACGCCAGTTCTTCACTCGTAGGTACATATTCTAGTACAACTATCTCCACTGAAAAACAGTTAATTTTAAATATCAGTATCTTATGCCATGTTTTTAAAATTAAGCTCTATCTGGGTATGAGTTCTTAATTAACCTTTTTTCCCTCATGTTTTATAGTATGTCATGTTTGACATGGCTTTTGCATAATTACTCCTACATGTTTCTCAGATGATCATCTGAATTACCTGTTAGAACATCCAACTCTTAGATTCAGTCGTGAAGTAGAAAGAAATTCCATTAGCATGCCACTAAGCTACTGGGGAAAGAGCATGAATGGATGCTGAAGCTAACTTCTAAGTCTTAAAGTTTTACAGGTTGTGTGTGTGTGTGTGGGTAGGGGGGATGAATCAAGCAGACACTGTGGTACAGCAGGGCTAAGCCACCACTTTGACAATTCCGGTTCGAGTTCTGCCCACTCGGCTTCAACCCAGCTCCCTATTAATGCTCCCGGGAAGCAATGAATTATGACCCAAGCACTTGATGTTTTTCTGTCCATGTGGGAGACTCAGGTGCAATTATTGACTCATGGCTTCAGCCTGGTCCATTCTTGGTGGTTTGGGACTTTTGGGGAGTAAACCAGTAAATGGAATCTCTCTCTCTCTGTTCTCTTCCTTGCACATAAACGGATGAACAAATCCATTTCAAAAACAAAAATTTACACAAAGAATAGATATTTGGCACAGAGGTTAAGCCAGGTGGGGCTTGGATGCTGACATCCCATATTATTGTGTCTGAGTTTGAGTCCTGGCTCCATTTCAAAATTCCTGTGGGGACATGCTCTGGATAGCAGCAGAGATAGCTTACATGCTTGGATCCCTGACCCCTCATGTGTGAGGCTTAGACTGAGATAAGGTGCTGGATTCTCCTGGTCCAGACCCACCTTCTGGTGACTGAACCAGCAGATGGGAGAACGATCTCCTTCTCTCTGCCATTCAAATAAGTAAATTAACACATTGGTTAAAAGAAATTCACACAGAAGGGGACAGTTCCCATCTCAGATGTTGAAAAAAAATCACAGAAATGGAACTGTACACTTCAAATGATAAAATTCTATGCTACATATTGGGTTTATCCCAATAAAAGAGAGATAATTCCTAACATACGTAAAATATTACTGATCTTACTCCAGAAAATAACTTCTAACTCTGAGAATGACTGGTCTTCAAATCTTATAGCTTCAAATCATAGCTTCCAATATTACAATATGTAAAAATTTTCCTATAACCATCCTTTATATATAATTAGTTACTATTTGATGATTGTTCCTTATGTCCCAGCACTTGGTAAGCAATTTACCTTTACCTCATCCTCCTATTGACCCTGGGAGTCAGAAGCTGTTACTCGTATTGTACATACAGACACTGAAAGTCAGGGAGCCTAAATTGCCAAAGATGTATTGCGGGCATGTGGTGGAGCTACAGATCAGTAATGGGTCTATGACTCCAAAGTCCTTCATTAGCACATGAAATAGGGCTTGAAAACCTCTTGGTGATAATATATATATCTTTTGGTTGTTACGTTTTGGGGTTAAGAAGAAGCCAATAAACATTTTGGTTTTATTAAATTATATACTCCAAAAAATAGCCACATCTAAATAAATCAAATTCTGTATCCTGCAAAATGGGAGTGGAAGAAGGAGGAGAGAGTACCAACTGCACAACTTAGGTCTTATCTCTCTCATTACCAACACTGCCCTTTTCATCTGGTTGCACACAAGCACCTTTGAGTCGACATACCCTACAGTAAGCCAGTTATCTATCTCATCTGGAGTTAGATACAAGAATTCCAAAGAAGCACCAATGTGAGTTTAGAACAAATACAAATAAGAGGAAACCAAAGTCAGGTACTGGAGTACAAAGTATGAGCAAGATGCCAAAACCTTCACTGTAGGAGAAAAGAAGGAACTGGGGTAGGGTGAGTCCTACCAGCTTCACAAGAGAGTGTCAGTAAAATCTACTTGCAACAACCTGGACGATCAGAAGCAGTGCAGAACTGGAGAACATGTAAATGAGAATTTCTGTTACCAGACATCTATAACTGTTACTTAACAGATGTGGACAAAGTTGTAAGATCACACTGACAAAGTAAAAAATTAACAAGGAATTATCTAAAATATACACACAGACTTCTAAAAATCAGTAAGAAATTCAACAGTAAAAATTGTTAAAAAATCATCAACAAAGTGATTCACAGTAGTAAAATAATCAATAACAAATGTGAAATCTCATTGGAAATAGAGGGGCAATATTTATCATATCAGATTGAAGAAGTTCTTTTTTTAAAAAAAAAAGATTTATTTTTATAACAAAGTCATACACAGAGAGGAGGAGAGACAGAGAGAAAGATCTCCCATCCATTGATTTACTCCTGAAGTGGCTGCAATGGCAGGAGCTGAGCTATCCGAAGCTAAGAGCCAGGATCCTCTTCTGGGTCTCCCATGCGGGTGTAGGGTCCCAAGGTTTTTGGGATGTCCATGACTGCTTTCCCAGGCCACAAGCAGGGAGCTGGATGGGAGGCAGGGCTGCTGGGGTTAGAACCGGTGCCCTTATGGGATTCCGGTGTGTGCAAGGCTAGGACTTTAGCCACTAGGCTACTGCGCTGGGCCCTGGAGAAGTTGTTACTCTTTTTAAAATAATCAAATACAAAGAAAGGCCTTGTATGAAACAAAGATATGGAGATACCGGTGTGAAGAAATACACCTGTAGTGAGAATGAAGCTTCCATGTTGTCTTGAATGTGGGGTGGCAGTGTTTTCAATCAAGTGCATGGAGCCCGTGAGTTACTCAGCAAGCTGATTTTTACCTCGTTCACAGAAAGTCTGTAGGAGGCTGTTTATTGCAATCTTGTCAGTAGTAGGAACGTGTTAGAGAGAACTTCAGTTGTGTACAACCAGTGGACAATACTACTAAATTTGATATTACAGAAATGCTATGTAGCAACTGGGAAAAAAATACCATCTCTTTATAAATACTGTCTTAGGTTGGATTTCCTGGGAAGCAGACTCCAAGAAAGGTAATACGTTTGATGAAGCAGTATGATTAGGGTCAACACCTGTGGAAGGGAGGGGAGGAAAGCAGGTGTGGCCAAGAGTGAGAAGTCCAAAGACGATGCAGTCCAAACAGCGAGCCTTCCTCATGCCCTGCCACTGCTCTCCCATCACCCTCACCAGTGGTCAACCAAGGGGGCCTTCTGCTCTTGAACTTGAATCTCCGAAACTTTCAGTTAAACCTTTTTTTTCTTTTAAAAAGTAGGCTGCTTCCTGGTATCTCATTGTAGTCATGAAAATATGACTAATAAAAAATACAAATCTAATACAAGAAAAACACTCAATATGACGAGCAGTAATATAAGAATACTTAAGGCTAGGTTTCAGCGTCTGAGCAATGGTCAGTATGAAACAACTTAACAGGATCTCCACGTGAACAGAATGACCTTGTCTGCTGAGAAACTGTGCGATGCCTATCCGGAACTTTGAAAAGGGTCATGATGTTGATTTAACGTTAATACAGAGGAAAGAATGGATAGAGTGCGTGTGTGTTTGACATCTTTCTGCTCCAAACTGTCTATCAAAGAACTAGTAGAAGCAACTAAAACAATGATTCATTTAGTGTACAAGTCAGGAATATAAAGACTATAAAGCATTTAAACGAACAAGTGTTCAAGAGTTTCATTAAAAATAACTATGGAAGACATTAAAGAATAATTACAATCAGGGGAGGATAATTGAATACCATGAAATATTAACTTCTCTCCCCTGAATATCCAATTAAATCTAGACTATTTCAATCAGATTTCGAATAAAGCTTGATTTTGCAGCTTATGTGGATGAACAAATGAGTGAGATGAGGCAAGATGTTCTTGTTAGAAGGAAAAGGGGGGGACTAAGAAAATCCAGTTGCCACAGAAAAGACTAATTCCAAAGTTACAGAATTAGTCCAATGTGGAACTGGCCCAGGGATAGGCAAAGAGCAGCATCATAGCATAGGTAAGAGAAAACATATGATTAGGATGGAGAGTGGAGCAGACGTCCAAGACCTTCAGGAAAGGATAGTGCAGTAAGCAAACTACCCAGTGGGAAATGGTCGTACGGCAATTAAGCAATGTGGCCCCTACTTTATGTGGCCCACACAAACGATTTTCCATGAAATCTGAAGACAAGGATGCAGGAAAATCTTTAAAGTCTTTGGAAATTATATATAGAAAAAAATCTTTATGACTTCAGGATGGGGAAAATTCAAACATTAAATAAAGGACAAATTTTATTACATTGAACGCATTAATTTTTGTTACTCAACATGAAAGAGGGAATAAAGAGAACAAGCCACTCATGAGTACACAACTGAATAATTCCTATATCTCACCATTGCATTGAGCACTGCAGCTCCACTCACAACAGTTATGACATGGAATCAACCTATCAAAGGATGATTAAAGAAAACATGGTCTGTATGCACTATGGAATAGTACTCAGCCATAAGAGAATGAAATCCTGTCTTCTTCAACAATTATGCTTAGTGAACCAAGCCAGGCTCAGAGAGACAAATACATATTTTGTATGATAAACAGCAGTTGATATGGAACACAAAAAAGTGAAGTGATCATTTTGGGAGAGAAATGTCATTTTTTGCCCATGTTTATACTCCAATGGAAATGTGATCGTGTGGTCTTTTTACTTGTTGAATATTACAATTGGTGGCAAAGAATGTCTTTGAGTATAAAGTGCATTAAAATGATGACCATAGGGCCAGTATGATAGCCTAGTGGCTAGAGTCCTTGCTATGAACATTCCAGTATCCCATACGGGTAGCAGTCTTGTCCCAGTGGCCTGGCTTCCCATCCACCTCCCTGTTTGTGGCTGGGAAAGCAGTGGGGGATGGCCCAGGGCCTTGGGACCCTGCACCCATGTGGGAGACCTGGAAGAAGCCCCTGGCTCTTGGCTTCGGGTTGGCTCAGTTTGGCTATTGCAACCACTTGGGGAGTGAATCAACAGACAGAAGATCTTCCTCTCTGCCTCTCCTCCTCTCTGTATATATCTGACTTCCCAATAAATAAATAAATAAAATCTTTTAAAAATGATGTCTGTACAATATTGTTGAAGAGAAAGAAGGGAAGGAAACATGGTAGGGGAGAGAAGCAGGGGAGTGAGAACTGTGCCTGTGGAATGCATAAAACCTGTTCTTTATATAGGAATAAAAATAAATTTTATAAAAGGAATTCCTTAAAAAACACAACAGAAAAATGAGTAAAAGATATGGAAAATGAAATATGAATGCCCAGTAATGGTTGAGGAAATCCTCAACCAAGCTAGTGATAAGGCAGAAAGCATAAAAACCACAGCAGCCATCTTTGTGACATAGTAGATTACGCCACTGCCTGCAATGCCAGCGTTCCATATAGGTGCCAATAAAGTCTCTGCTGCTGCTCTACTTTCAATTCAGCTCGCTGTCAATGCGCTTTGGAAAGCAATGGAAGATGGCCCAAGTGCTCTGATCCCTGAATGCATGTGGGAGACATGGAAGAAGCACTTGGCTTCTGGCTTCAGCCTGGTTCAACCCCGGCTGAGAGGCCATTTGGGGGAGAGAAAGAGGGGATGGAAGATCTCCCTCCCTCCCTCCTTCTTTCCTTCTCTGTCTCTCAGATAAATAAATCCTTTAAAAAAGTCTGTCAGTACATTTTACCTTGTTAATGTCAGTATCTATTTCTTCTTCTGACTGCTGAACCAAAAAAGCTTGTGAAGTTGAATCAATTTCAACACAATCATTTATTATATTTCCATTGCAGATAAAGCTCTCCTTCACTGTCCTAGATTAATAAGTGGGAAGGAAAAATAATCATTTAAAAATCATGTAAGATTCCTAATATAAAAATATATTTATTTATTCTGCAAAGAACAATTCAACTAAAAAGAGGAGGGATTAGACTATTAATTTCTTTAGAAAAAGGCATAAACAATAAACGCAGGAAAAGATGTTCATTTTATTTATTTTTAATGATATCGTTTGATAGGCACAGGGATTTCCCCTCCCATCCCCACTACCCTCCCACTGTTTTCCCCCATATTATTATAATAGTATAATCCTTCAGTAACAGCCACAAGTCCATCATTCTACTATTTAAGTACATCCTGATACTGTAGGTATAGACAATGATAGAAAGTCCCGCATCCTATTTTCAACTGTTTAACTATTTCATTGGGAGTCCTCCTTTTATTTGGGAGTAGAGATGCATACTGCGATGATTCTTCACTTCTTACAGTAGTTACCACTATACATTTCCTCTAGGTGAATATATATACATACATGTTTACCTATATATCTACTGATCTTGTATTTTGCATTAAGTTTGCCTTACATCACAGAACGTATGACATTTGTCCTTTTGTGATTGCTTGTTTCTTTGAGCATAACGGTCTCCAGTTGTGACCATTTTGTTGCAAATGGTAGAATTTCATTTCCTTTTAATGGCTGGGTAGTATTCCGCAGAGTGGATGTACCACAGTTTCCTTATCTACTCCTCTTTTGATGGGCATCAGGGTTATTTCCATGTCTTTGCTATTGTAGACTATGCTGCCTTGAATATTATAATTGCAGGTCACTTTCTCATATGCAGATTTCAGTTCCTTTGGATATATTCCCAGGAGTGAGACAGCTGGGTCAAATGGGTCAATTTTCAGTTCTCTTAGCTCTCTCCATATTGACTTCCATAGTGACTGTACTATCATTGGAGTTGGGTACTTTTCTCTCCACATCTACACCAGCAGGTGGTATTAGCAGAGTTCTGAATGTAGGCCCATCTAACTGGAGTTAGGTGGAACCTCAATGTGGTCTTCATTTGTATTTTCCTGATACCCAGAGAGCCTGAGCATTTTTTCATATGTCTATCAGTCATTTCAATTTGTTCTTTTGAAAGAAATGTCTGTTTTTTTTTTTTGCCTGTTTCTTTACAGAGCTGTTTGTTTTGCTATTGTTGAGTTTCTGAAGCTCTTTGTAAATCCTGCGTGTTAGTCCTCTATCATTTGGGTAGTGTGCAAAGATTTTTTCTCATTCTGTTGGTTTCAACTTTGCTTTGTTGATCATCTCCTTTGCTGTGCAGAAACTTTTTAGTTTGATGAAGTCCCATTCGCTTATTTTGGTTTTGCTTTTAGTGACTTTTCTAAGTAGTCTTTCCCAATTCCTATATCTTGCAGAGTTCTTCTTATGTTTTCCATCAACATTTTGATGGTTTTTGGGTACAGATTTAGGTCCTTGATCCATTTAAAGCCAATTTTTTGGTATAAGGTCAGAGATGGGAGTCTTGCTCCTAAATTCTGCAGGCTGCTACCGAATTGTGCCAACAGCATTTGTTGAAGAGACCTAAATGTGGATGTTTTAATTAAAACCTGCAGGTTGAGTTACAAACGAAAGCAAATCATAATGGCATTATTGAGATAGCAATCTAAAGGAAAGTGAAAAAGTTTAGGGGTCTGATGGGATGGCTTCGGTGGCTAAATCCTTGCTTTGCATGTGCCAGGATCCCATACAGGCATCAGTTTGTGTCCCAGCTACTCCACTTCTCATCCAGTTCCCTGCTTTGTTCTGGGACAGCAGCAGAGTATGGCTCAAAGCCTTGGAATCCTGCATCTATGCGGGAGACCCAGAAAATACTCCTGGCTCTGGGTCAGCTCAGCTCTGGCTGTTGAGACCATTTGGAGGGATGAACCAGCAGGCAGAGGATTTTTTTCTGTGTCTCTCCTCTCTGTAAATCTGCATTTTGAAGAAAAATAAATAAGTCTTTAAAACAAGGTTTGAGAATTTAGGTATTAGAAGTTTCTGGCAGCAAGAGCATGGTGACACACATCAGGCAGCTTTTATTCATTGTAACAAAATCTCTGAGTAAGTCTAACTTTATGAGGACAGAGACTTATTTTGGTTCATAGTTCTGGAGGTTCATGATTCCAGGTTCAGCAGATCCCATTGGTTTACTCTCTGATGATACTGTCCTTGTTGGAAAAGTTTCAAGGTGGTACAGAGCACCACATGGCATGGAACAGGCAGCACAGGTGTCTAAGTCTCCATGGACTCCATCACACAGCCACTGGGAGTCGGCTTAGGGCTCCACTGTAATGACCTACTCCAATCCACTCACTTCCCCTTGGTTCTGCCTCTGAACACCATCACCGGATGGCTTCTACCTTCTTAGGACCACTGACATATGACTTGGCGTACTACACTCCTGAAATCAGGGCAGCCTTAGTTGCTTTTTGAATCTTTCTAAATCTCCACATTAAAAAAAAAAAAAACAAGCAAACAAACGCACGCAGAGGGAACAGAATTGCTCAACAGAGAGGCTTCATTGTTCCTTTCTTCAACCTCCACTTTTGAGATGGGTAGGATCCAATTTTGCAGTGACAGCAGGACCACAAGCACAGCGGAATGTGCCCCAGTGAGCCTGGCAGGTTCATCTGCAGACGTCAGAGCCAGGGCTTCTGCTGGCACAGAATTTCTGGAGTATATATAGAGACCACAGGGAGCTGAGAGTCAGTGGAAAACTCTACAGGTGCGGAATGGTCTAGGATACACAAACCAACAAATCCTGGCTGAGAGAAAACATACTCAAACAGAGGAAAACAGGGAAAAGATCTAAACTGTGCTGGGTGGGACCACTGGGGAATGCAGAGAGAGAGGTTCAGTTAGCAGGCAGGGAGGAGGAAGGGGAGCTGGGACAGATCCCCGAAGGAACTCAAATGTTGAAGGAGCACAGGGGTGTTGACAGAAGCAGAGGAGTCCCTGCTTCAAAGAGGAAAAGAACGGTTCCACACAAAGGCACATTGTTGACTATTCACAGTAGTATCAGAGGAGGGCACCCTTGAGCTGTGGATACATTTCCATAGGCCTTTCCATTGCCCAGTATAATCTGCCTCATTTTATTCTGAATTAAAAAAAAAAAAGCATGATTGGATTCCATATAATGATACATGTGGGGAGGGGGCTACAGACCAACTGAAAAAAGTTCAAAAAGATTCTCACACTTCATTAACTGGAACTCTATATGCAGGGAAAATATCCTTTGTACATGACTATGATAAAAAGAGGTTTCTAGACAATTACAAATGGAGGAAACAGTTTCTCAGAAGCCTGCATAAAGAAAAATATTGCAAGGTTTTTTTTTTCTCTCTTTTTAAGGGAAATGATTATACAATGAGAACAAGCAAGGGGAAAAACCCAAGAAATGATCATTATGTGGAGAAAAATGAATGGCTATTGATAATTTAAAGCAGTACTTCTAATGTCTTCTGCGTTAAAACACACAAACAACCAAAAGTGTATTTGAAATATACATGAATCAACACTGTGAAACAGGAGAATAAAATGAGCTGAAATGCCCTGAAGTTTAGCAGTGCCACGGAAGGGATAAAAGTGATGATAATAATTTATACCCTATAAGAATACCTGCTTTGGATTAATAACTTTTTTAGTCTTTCAATATTTTCCCTTCTGCTCTCTTGCTGAATGTCCTTGAAAGAACACTGCCTTTTTAGTAGTTTTCGTTATCTATAAGGGACCAGATAGGAAATATCTTACATTTGGTGGGCCAGATGGTGCTCCCTGTTGATAGCTGCTTAACTCAGTCTCTGTAGGGCAAAACTAGCCAGACAATATAGAAATTAAAGGTTCACTATCTGTACACTGCATAGCATAAAATCAAAGCTCTACTAAATGGAATACTGATAAACTGTAAATTCTCTTCAAACAAATCTACAGATTCAATGCAATGATCAAAATCTCAGTAAACTTTTTAAAGAAATTTTAAAGTTGGCTCAATGATTGTGTGTGTGTGTGTGTGTGTGTGTGTGTGTGTGTGTACAAGCAAATAAGAGTAGCAAACACAATCCTGAAAAAAAAAATGTTGAAGAACTCACATTACTTGATTTCAAGACTATGGTTATGAAGACTGTGAGGCATTGATGAAAGATGCATGGATCTGGGAGAGTAAAAGGAGGGCTGAAATAGATGCACCAATGTGGGAGAGAACAAGTCACCCAATCCATTCTTTTACTAGGAAGCCACTACTGAGAAAACCCATTCAGGAGGGCAAATGCCTTCCAATGCGATCTTCTCTTCAAGGTCCTACTTCTCAGCATTACTGGGGACTAAGTCTCCAGCCCATGAATTTTGGGGGAACTGGCAGATAAACTCTATCTCACGTCTCAGGAAAAAATAACAAACACTTCACAAACTTTTTCAGAAGCCACGGATTTTTCCAGAATACTCTCCAATGCATTCTAGAGAGCCAGCATTACCTCAAACTAAAAACTGGACAGTCATTTTCAAAACTACAGGTCAGTGTTCCTTATGGTGCAAAAAATTCTCAACAAAATACCCACAAACTGGATCCACCAGCACATGGAAAGGATGATACACTGCAATCAAGTGACACTCATTTTAAATTAGTTCAGTTTTGGAAAAATGCATGTCATATATCAAAGCAATAAGGTAAAAACCAGAGGGCCCTCTCAACAGATACCAAAAACAAACAAAAATAAATAAATAAATAAACCAAGCATTTGACAGGATCCTTTACCATCTGATAACATTCCACTACAGAAGGAAATTTTCTCAATATGAATCATCAGTAAAAAAATAAAACAAAGGGCCCGGCGCTGTGGCTCAGTGGTTAAGGTCCTTGCGTTGCACGCCCGGGATCCCATATGGCCGCTGGTTCTATCCCAGCAACCCCGCTTCCCTTCCAGCTCCCTGCCTGTGGCCTGGAAAGCAGTCGAGGACGGCCCAAAGATTTGGGACCCTGCACCCACATGGGAGACCCGGAAGAGGCTCCTGGCTTCGGATCGGCATAGCATTGGCCGTGGTGCTCACTTGGGGAGTGAATCATCAGACGGAAGATCTTCCTCTCTGACTCTCCTCTCTGTATATCCGCCTTTCCAATAAAAAACTAATAAAAATAAATCTTAAAACAAAACAAAACAAAACAAAAAACACTGTAATATTTAGGTATGAGTCCCTATATGGTCAACAAATGCTCAGCGAGGGTGTCAAGACAATTCAATAGAGAAAGAGATAGTGCTTTTCAACAAGTAGTACTGGAAAAGAGAATGTTCATGTAAAGCAATGACTTTGGATTCCTGTCTCATACCAAATGTAAGAATTAATTCAACATGCATCAAAGACTTAAATGCAAATGTAACAAAGTTACAAAATCATGAAATAAAATATGCACAAATCTTCATGACTTTAGACTAGGCAATCATTTCTTAGGAACACCTAAGGTTCAAAGAAAAATAAATAGGATTTCCTAACATTTTTAACCTTTGTGTTTCAGAGAATAGTAACAAGGACATGGACAAAAATGACCCACAGATTCTAACATGTACAAAGAACAGTTGCAACTCAACAATAAAAAGACACAACTCAAAAAATAGACATCTCTACCCAAAAAGATACACAAATGGTCAATATGTTAAAAATGCTCATCATCATTAGTCACCACGGATATTCAAATCAATAGTGAAGAGGTCAGCGGCACATATACAGTGAGTTAAGCCAGTGCCTGGGACAGCTGCCGAGCGCCTGGGTTTGAGTTCTGTCTCCACTTCCTGTAGATTCCTGTGTAATGCACAGCATCTGAGACCCCCCCAGATGACAGCCCAGGTACTCCTTGCCTCCCAAGTTGGAAATCCAGGTGTTCCAGGCCCCTGGCTTTAGTCCAACCCAACCTGGTTGTTGCAGGCATTTGAGGGGTGGATGGAAGCACGGATGCTCATGTTCTTTCACTTTTCTCCTTCCCTCATCTCATTTTTAAAATAAATAAGTAAATGTTTTATGAACAGTTTACAAAGAGGTCAGTGGAAACAGATTCAGTAATATCAATGATCAGAAATTAATAACATGTTTATGTTCAAACATTTTCACATAAGCATTATTGCTCACTCCAATTTAAGGCGAAAAAAGAAAAGCTGAAGTCTAAAGAGTTTGTCTAACTTCTGTCAGGATGACAGTTAAGCTAAGCCATACAACTAGTCATAGACAATATGGTATACAGGTGTTAGGATCCAGGTGTTAGGCTCCAGACCTGCATATTCCTTCCATAACACACACAAAGAAGTATGAAGAGGTGTTAAGAAACAAGCTATAAATCACCCAAATTTTCGATAACGTGATGAATTTATTTTAAGAGCTCTACTGTTAAAACCTTTCCTAAATTCCCAAATACATAAATGTACACAACCCGTTTGACAGAAAAAAAGGTACCATCAGTAGTTATGCTTTTGTAACTTAAATGTTCTTACTCAAACCAGTAATGAGGCCTTTAATAAATAATACTGAGTTTTGTGGATTCAGTCAAAAGTAGAGAAACAGAATAGAATAATGTGAGCTTTAAAATGTTACAAATCGATGCTTCATTTTCCATTTACTGAATCTTGCATTTTACTAAGATGTTATTGCTAACTTTCGATATTTGGGATGTAATGAAGTATTCTACTATTACATTTAACAGACTAGGTTTCACAAATTATAGTAAGTAGATCCGGTTGGGGAAAATAAGAAGAATGCTTCATTTTAAATCACATTTTAACAGAAAAATAAAAATATTTCTTAAATCCTTTCGTGGCTGGCCAAAGAGTAAATAAATATTTCTAGGAAATAATCAAAATTCTGGTTGAACCTGTGGCTCCTCCCAGACTCATTCTCACTTCTCTAAAGAATTAGCTCTGGGGCCGGAGGATAACAGTACATGGGAGTCCCAGATGTAGCAAAGAAATATACAGTAAAACACAGAAAAATATCTGTTGCTTATTTGAAATTCTGATTTCACGGAGTACTCTTTATTTTGCAGGGCAGCCACTCATATGCTCAACTTCAAGGAAAATATTGGGAAATATTCTTTTTTTTTTAAAGAGAGACATAGAGGAAGATCTTCCGTCCGATGATTCACTCCCCAAGTGAGCACAACGGCTGATACTATGCCAGTGCGAAGCCAGGAGCCTCTTCCGGGTCTCCCACGCGGGTGCAGGGTCCCAAAGCTTTGGGCCTTCCTTGACTGCTTTCCCGGGGCACAGGCAGGGAGCTGGAAGGGAAGCGGGGCTGCCGGGATTAGAACTGGCGGCCATATGGGATCCCGGGCGTGCAAGGCGAGGACCTTAACCACTTGCGCCACTGCGCCGGGCCCGGGTTTTATGGACACTATTGAATATCAGTAAATAATAAGTTCAGCTGATTGCAAAAATGAGTACACAAACTGTTACCAGCAGAATTTTCTAATTCTAGCTTAAATGATTGAATATCTCTTCCATACGTGGCATTAAAATTGTGATTAGAAAGAACCTTCTAAGTCAAAGAAGTAGGATTTACCTGATGAGATTATTATTCTTTTCTTCCTTTGAGAATGGCATGCTAGCAGACCCATCAAAGAGTTCCCAGAGAAGTGTGACTGCAGTGTTCATAAGCTGACGGAGGAGTTCCTGAAATATGTAGTCAACCAGCACTAGGAATTGGAAAACCGTTTCTAACAGACGTCGAAACTTAGGCAGCTTGAAATGTTCTGTATCACTTGCAGAGAGGTTGGGCTCAAAATAATCTCTAATATTCTTCTTTTCTGCAACCTACAAGTTAATAAAGCAGTTGAGAGGCAGGTGATGGTTTTATGTTAATACAGCATAATTTACCATCTTTAGTAGTTTTTATTAGCCTGACAAACATATTGGATCTAAACTTTGTCAATTTTCATTAAAACTTTACTTCATACTCACACTCTATTTAAATACCAGCAAAAACAAAGTAACGGATGTGGTCAAAAGCCTGATATTTGCTGCTTCACTTAAAAGAAGTTATGCTGTCTACTTTGAGGGATCATCTTCAAACACACTGACTAGTACCAGGGGGCACAAACTAAGTCTAATTGCAAGCTTTCCTAAAACCACTCCAGGGCTGCTTCCTTTAGGGCAGTCAAAAACAATTTGACTTCTTAAATACATCTACTCTATATAACATAGAATTAAGGAAAAACTTTAAAGTTTACAAAATCCAATGTTAGGATATTATTTTTAAATCACATAATCATATATTTTAGCATCATTTACTCATTATTGAATACGACATTTTGCCAAAACTAAAGAATACTGTAAGTACTACCAGAACCAACCCAACATATCTAAACTGTGTTGCTTAAAACAATCGAAAGGTACATAAGGATTTTTTGTTAGTCCTCTGATGTTCTAAAAATATTTTCAACTTTCAATTTTTTCTACACATTAGAAAAATGTCGATGCTTCAATAGTCATAACTGTCAGCTGGTATTCTAATTTTTTTTTTTTTTTTTACAAAAGTAACTGCTACTGGTAATGAAAAATTTAAGTTGGAGTTTGTGGAGCACAGGCTCGGTGGAAAGGTCTTAGAGGTGAGATGAGGGAAGTTGAGTTATATATGCATAACTTAAAATTTTCCAAGATCTCTCACAAACCTCATGTTCACTAGCGCCAACGAGGCCATCCCCATTCCTTACGCCTTCACTGTGGGGCAAAAGGCAGTTTTGTGCTGACTTGGCTGGAGAAGGAAGCAATGGGTAAGTTTTAAGAATATTTGCATTTGGTAACCGCCTACTTGAGGCCAGTCCCTCTGTGCAGAAACATGTAAGTATTCTTAAGAATGTACTTCCTTCCCTAACTTTCATACAGATTTGCTTATAAGCTAACCTTATGCTAACATGATTTAGTTTTTAGCTCAATGCCACAATACCTTAGTAATAATGACTGTTTCAGGGATCATTTGTTTGCATATATTCTCAGCTTTGTTTTGTCACCTTTTTTTTTTTTTAAGATTTACTTCTTACTGGAAAGCTAGATTTACAGAGAAAAGGAGAGACAGAAAGGAAGATCTTCCATCCACTGATTTCATTCCCCAAGTAGCCGCAATGCCCAGAGCTAAGCCAATCTGAAGGTAAGAGCCAGGAGTTTCTTCCAGTTCTCCCATGCTGGTGCAGGGTCCCAAGGCTTTGGGCTGTCCTCAGACTGCTTTCCCAGGCCACAAGCATGGAGCTAGATGTGAAGCGGGGCTTCCAGGACAGGAACTGGCACCCACATGAGATCCTTGTGGATGCAAGTCAAACTTTAGCCACTAGGCTACTGTGCCTAGCCCCTTGTCACCTTTTTTAATTCTACATTCTCCCATGAAGTGAATAAAGTTGGTAGATGTCATTATCCATATTAACAAGAGCTCTAAAATGTTCTTATACATAATTGATTTTAATAGAAATTTCTTATTTATGATCATACAGCAACAGTGCTAAACAGGTAGAGTGAACATTTCAGTGGCCCGGGTAGTATGTTATAACTCATTTATTTATGCCATCCTTGGCAAACTGTCCCAGAATCTGTAACTGGCTGGGCTTTGGGAAGTTGGAGGACTATGGGAGGCTTTTAGATTCTACTTCAAAGAGCTACACTCCATCTTGTCAACGCTCTAAGTGTCAAATGTCATTGTTGTCCAGAGAATAATTTCAGTTCAAAGAAACACTCAGCATTCACATGTTAAGTCCATTCAGTCCTCCAGAAAGCTCAAATAGCCACCTGGATAGCAGGTGCATGATTCGCTGATATTTTATCAGTCCCTTAAACTGTATTTGCTGAATTATGCATTCATGCATCGTTACCTCTTTGTGGGGAGACTGTGTGAAGCAGTACATAGCAAGGGGGTGGGGATGTTCTGAGGACATGGTGCATCGTATTATTGAGCCTTCACTCTTAGGAAACTCTCAGAAGGTTGACTTCATCTAGGTGTGCTCCTGAGCTATGGGCTTTTGTCTTAGGAACACCTGAATTTACTCAGACATCTCATTTTCCTTTACATGCAAATTCAGATTTTAAAGACCTTGAAGTTGTACATATAAAATATATGCATACAAGCACTTACACACTCATTTATATGCACACTCATTATATGGTTTGGGGTGTGTGTGTTTAATTTCACACTACATACCTTGGAAAGTTCTTACTTTCCAAGTTGATGCAAACACATAAACTTATGGTACCAGTTGGTTGGTTAATTAACCACCTTTTCCTGTGTATTCCCACTTCAGATACTTTTCCCAGTAACCCAATTTGGCATAATCAGTTCAATCAATACATAGCGTTTGATAAGCAGAGAGAATAGAATTAAGGAATTACCTTTAAGACTGTATTTTTTAACTCCAAAATTGCTTTATCTCTGACGTCCTCAAATTTTTTCATTGCTTGGCTAGCTTGTTGCAACTGTTCTTCACAAAATTCATCTAGAGAATATGTTCGAGACTGATCCAACTAATAACAATAAGTATTGAGTATTAGAAAGTAAAAAATTACTTGTAAAAAGATAATTAGCCATTTTTCATATCTATATATATCTTCTTAAGAATACATATTTCTTTATATGCTATGGGTCTTATAAGTTCTTCAAATTTAAGTAATAATTAAATCTAAGTTATGATAATAAAAAAATCCACTACCACTTTAAATTATAGCTAAGATTAAGCAGAAAAAAATCAAGAACTGCAGCCTTTTAAAATTTATGTATGAACCTGGAAAACCCAGGAACTATTTTCACTTTTGAAGTTCCATTTACTTGTCAAACTTAAAAACATAAGCATAAAATGCAGAGTAAAAAGGCTAAAATTAAAATCTAGAAAGGCAAACATTTTTTCCCCAGAATTTATTTAGAATCCAGCAGACAGAACTCAGCTTGCCTTGGCCCTAAATCATTCTATGGTGATGCAGAAATAGAGTGTTCATCCATTCATGCCCCTCCATGAGTGTGCATGAACTGCCTTCCTTTCAAGCTTTCCATCTTTCTTACCTTGTGTAGATTCTATTGCCAAAACACACTTGCATCAGTAAATTATGTAGCCTATATCCCTAGTTATACTACAACAACCACTAAGTGTATGTTTCTCAAAACAAAGATTTAGCAGTTGTGCTTTAGGATTTGAGATTTCTCCCAGTCCCTGGCAATTGCCAGGTTCCAACTTTTCGAAAATAGCCTATCTCCAATCTCTGCTTCTTTTGGAGTCTCTAGGCTAACATCCTATTCGAAGTTACATTCGCCAGGCCTTCATTGTTCTAATACTATATACTAATTGATCTCTTTAGTTCCAGTATCTCTCCATTTCTAAAATGCCCCATCTACATCACAGTAGTTTGTGTAACAGAGCACATTTCAGGAACTCTGAGTAGCTGCTCTGTTATGGGTAGGCAGAGAGCTAGAGAACACCAAAGTGCTAAGGACTGCCAACATCTGAGTTGCATCCATCATCAATACCCCATCACCCTTCTGTGGTAATTCAGCATTGCTGAGGACAACACACCCAGCCCTCATCGTGCAGCTAAGTCTCACTTTCCACCACACACCAGATGCCATGACACCTTCCTGTAAACCACCACTTGTGCTACAGCCCCAAACCAACCCTGCATCCTTACAAAGGTTCTGCCCCCAGCACTACCCCCTTCCAATACCCTTATTCTTTAGAAAGGATGGTCCCTGTCTACGGCCATACCACCCTGAACGCTCCCAATCTCGTCTGATCTCAGAAGCTAAGCAGGGTCAGGCCTGGTTAGTACTTGGATGGGAGACAGGATGATCCCAACCTGGGCCTTCCCTGTCACATGGTGACCTGCCCACATGTCTGAACTGGGCACTATCCACTTGCCTTTCAATAAATCCTTGTCTGTTCACCTCCACCATGTCTCTTGGTTTTTTTAATGTCACACACAGAAAAGTAAGACACCAGACCCAGTACAGCTGGGTTTCCCACAAGCCCAGCCGAGGATGGTCATCCCCACGACATAATCCAAGAGTCCCTGCTCCCACAATAGTTCTTTAAGTTTTCAAAATCTCCCCTGGATAATAGCCACTAGGACTTATTTAAAAAGCACACACAACCAGCACCACTCATCATCATCTCTCCGCAGTAGGTGGTGTGACCAAATGCCTATCTCTATAAAGCCTTCCCAGCCCTGCTTAAGGAAACGAGCTTCATTCTTGACTATGAAGCATAACCAAAATTTCAACTCCACTCGACTTTGTGGACTTCAGTTCTGATCGCTTTACAACTATGCTGTGCCTTTTCAATGGGAAGGCTTGGACCCAATGATCCATGGAGGTGCCTTACCTTCAACTGTGGAATTTTTGCCCCTTTCATATGGGAGCTTTCATTCCAGTGGAATGTATCAGCACCCCCATGCACACAGTGCACTGCCTTAACTTCTGAGTAAGCACAGCCTTACTGCTTCCACCCTTGCTCCCCTCTCTTGACTACCTCATAGTCTTCATTGGTGTCTCTACTTTTTCCAATGCTTAGCTGCTTACCTTCTCATTCCTGACACCAGCCCAGTGCTCCTGGCTGTGAGTCCCTGCTCTTGATTGGATCCTGGCTTCTCCGAGTCTAGGAAACTCCCACTCTTGCATACTGTTCTCCTAACACCCCCTAGCTGGAGGTGTTCGGTCAGTTACACCCTGTGTGGCGTTCCATAGTCTACCATTCCCTTAATTCATTTATCGGCCTGGTATTCAAGACTCACACCTATTTTTGAATCAAACATGTAGTGAAATGCCTTATATTTATACTAATGCTTGTTTTTTAAACTGTGTTATCCCCTCATCTCTGGCTACTCAAGTTGAATACTGTCTAGTTTATAAAATGAATAATACTCTAAATAAGGCCAACCTGTCTTTCCATCCATTCTTCTGCAACATAGCTGCTTTATAGTATTTTTGTTTTGTTTTGCCAGGAAACACTCTTCGTCTTACATGTTGTGAACTAACTCAAAAAAGTTAGCAAAGGGATCATCTCTAGAATTAACTATCACTTTTATATATAAAATATTATCTCTTTCAGTAAGCTACAAGCAGATCAAAAGTAACCATTTCTTTTTTCATTTCCTTTGCATGGAACTTTGCAATATAGTAAAATAACAAAATATTTCAATATTTTCTTGAAAAGTCTGTTCTTCACACTCTGGGGAAAAAACACACATCACCTGAAAACTCCAGGACAGAGTCCCAGTGTTCCTTCTCTGTCACCATCAGCATCTCGGTCTCTCTCCTTGTCTTCCTACTCTTCATCAAGTTAATTCTATCAATCATCCATAAAGTTATCTAATATAGCTGTTCAACCCATTCCATCACAAAAACACTCATCTGCACTTAACCCAGCAGTTGAGACATTGGTGAAGACACCTGCGCAGGACATTGGAGTGCCTTGATTGAACCTTGGGCTCTGGCTCCTGCTTTCAGCTTCCTGCTTAACACACACCCTGAAAACAGCAGGGACAGATCAAATCATCCAGTTCCTGTTACCCAATGTGAGATCTTGATTGGGGTCTCTGCTTCTATTTTTATTACATGTATATGCTGTATGTCTGATTTGTAACTTGTTTAAACCTCTGCATCATTCTTCTAAGGATAGATGATTATTCGTGTTATTTTTTAGCACCTCCCTCACACATTATGGTAAGTGAAGCAAAACTAGTTGGAATCCTATTCAACAATGAACTTAACACTTAAGAAAAATTACAATTCTATAAATGTAAACTCTTAGAAAGAGCAATCACATATAGATCAAATCAAATTATCCCATTAAGAAGCATATTGTCTCCATATATTAAAATAGGAATTGTTAGTTCATTCAAAACTGATTGACCACTTAAGGTGATTTCTCAACACGGTTTATTTAGGGTAGAATAGCTGGAGACTATTAATTATGTATTAAAAATAAATCATTATTTATAAATAACATTCTACAACTAGAGACACACTCGAAAACAGGGGTTTTGTAGCCAAAGGTAAGTAAAAGAACCGAATTCTTCATAAGGAATGTTAACTTGTAAAAACGACTACCAGAAAATCATAGTTTTGTACATTAGTCATCCATGGAGATAGTTTATTTATACATCTAGAAATCCCTAACCCTTTAATTCAGAATTTCATTTGTTCTTCCTAGTTTCTGCATATTAATACTAACCTATAGTTATATTTTGAGCCTTCTTTAAACATTTTTTCCCCTGCCTCCCAAATGAAAAAAAGGGTGGGGAGAGTAGAGGGAGACAGAACACATTTCCACCTGCTGCTGGCTGGAGCTTGGCCAGGACCAAAGCGGGGAAGCAGGAATACACAGCCAGGTCTCTGAGGTAGGTGGTTGGAATCGAACTACTCATGTCATCATTACCGCTGCCTTCCAGGGTGTGCATCAGCTGGAAGCTGGGGTCTGGAGTTAGAGCTGGGAATTGAACCTGATATAACATGAGGTCTTTTGAGCTGCCAGGCCAAACACTTGCCCAGCATGTTAAACATCTATAATCTGAAAATCCCAAACCAAAATTGCTCTAAAATCTATTCTGAATTTACAGATAAGGGATGATAAACTGGCAAAGTCTAAGTGACTACTCTGAAACATCAGCAAATTCCCAAACTCCACAAGCATTTTGGATGTGAGATACTTACCCCAATATACTTTTACCCACCTTTACAAGACATATGGCAGATGGATTATCTTCATCTTTATTATTTTTAAGATTAATTGCATCTTCACAAATTCCTCTTATACGAAGTAAGCAGGCTTGAAATAATTCATCAGCCCAAAAGAGACGGCGTCTCAGAAATAACCTGAATGTTCACAAATTTCCAAACTTATTTCCCACTCTAATTACTTTAGAGTTTACAACTATCATTTAGCTCATATGCCTATAGTTAAATATATTACATCTACATTTTTGGGGATAACAACTACTAAGCTTTAGGAGTTTCACCTAGCTATGAACATTGTAGTCAAGATCTGGGGGACTAGATGTGTTAAAGAACAAAGTAGGAAGGGGAAATGAGATCTTCTGTTAAGCTATTTCATTCTATTAACTTCGAGTTATCCAAGCAGCTTTACATAAAAGTAACTACATATCTTTTTGGAACAGTATAAGGAGAAGAGCAAGCCTTCTGCCTATCATGATGCTTGTAATGTGGCTGGATTTGGAGGTTCAGAAAGGCCTTAATACTTTTCAAAAATCATCAGCATCTCTTCCCTGTCTTTCCATCAAACAGATAAAAATTTATTGTATAACTTTCCTGACATATTTAACACAGACATGAGGATATTGGGAAGGGTGCACCTAAAACATGGGCATGGGAAACTTGGAAAGTTAGAACTGTAATACCACATTTGATAGTGCATCAATTAATGACTGTATTCAGTTGTACCTTTTATGAGGAATTCAACAACAAATTTTCATTTTATTGTAAAAGAAAATTACATGTATTTTCAAAAATCTTGCCCACATACAAAAATTGCTTGGTATTGGAGAACATATCACAGAAGGCTACTAAAATGTGGGTTCTGGTTTACAGGAAAAATTCAGTAGGCATGCATTTACTGTCATTCCTGATAAACACAACACTCTGAACATTGTATGTAGATCAAACACAAGAAGATATTGAAAGGTGGAAAAGAGAAGCAAAACCAGCTAGGAGTGATGTAGCAAATTCCCTGGGCTTTCTTTAGGTCCCATATATCCCAGACTCAGAGCTGAAAAAAACTGGCAATCCGTTAACACCAAACAATGACCAAAAAAGAAAAAAATCTATAATCTACTTAAAGGACAAGGGGCAGCCTAGCAAGACAGAAACTTTTGGCAACAGCCATTCTACTCCAGCCAGATACCACAGGGTGGAAGTGATTAAGTCAGAGTTCAGCTTTTGCTAAACTGTAATAATGCATCCCTAACGCCTCCATGTGGAGTTTTCAAGAAAGGTCAAGCAAGACATTAGGACCCTCATTTCCACTGGCTGGTAATATACAAAGAAACGAAAAGTCAAGGAAATAAACAGAAGACCAAAAGAACCAACTGTCCATCGCCCCGATCAGCTGGTGGTTGCCATTGCTGGGTTGGTTCTGCTTTCATTCCCGACTTCCACTGGAACCAATGGGTTTTGCAGTCCAGCCTGGTTCTGCCAAGCACATACTTGGGATGGACTGTGCCGGGCCCTGTACTTGCTAGCACATACAAGAATCTGGTTTGAGCACACCTCAGACAAAGTTTCTTTGGAGATCTTCCCAATCAAAATGCTAGACTCAGAACCCTAACCAAGAAGAGAGAGAAGACAGAACAGGTCAACCAACCATCTCAGCTATGATGGACTATGTCAATCAATGGATTCTTCAAGGACCTCATAGTGCTTGGAGTGGCAAGATTGCCAGCGATTCATAACTGTTGAAATATCAAAACCACTTGAGCAAGAACCTCAGAGCATACCCTACATCCAGGACCTGGGGAGGGTGGGAAATTGGATGAGCTTTCTCCCTTAATACCCGCCTTTAAACATGAAGGAAACAATATGGAAAAAATACTAGTCTTACCCACTTTCCTGTAGCCCTTCAACCTTTTTACCCTAAAAAAAAAAAATTTAAAAAAAAGGAACCAACAGGAAATTTTAGAAATGGAAAACCCAAGGATGGAAATAGCAAAATCAATGAATGGCTTCCATAAATTTAGGTTTGCCCCAAGGCCCACATATTAGAGAATTCCCCAAATCTTATGTTAATTATTAAGGGATTAATGATGTAGATTAAGGGTCAGTATGGTTTTCAGGAGATGAGCTAAGTGCACTGGGAGGTTTTTATTCAAATCTCTAATAAGAACTACTTTTGTGGGCATAATGCATTGATGACCTCGGGTCATGAGATAGTTACAAAAACTGAGTTGGACTTAGCTGCTGTCCTTCTCTGCTCATATGATGTGATCTTTCTTCTGCCTGGGCTCCATCAGCCCAGGATCCACTAATTTTGGATGGTGATCTTCCAAAAACTGAGTCAAACTGCTTCCTTCCTAAGTAGTTTATTTCAAGTATTTGTTATAATAACAAAATTGACTAATACAAGATTCAACAGTAGAGTAGACAGTGGAAAGGATCAGTGACCTAAGAGGCAGAACAACATAAATGAGCTAATCTGAATAATAAAAATTGGACTACAAGTGAACAGACTCTCATTGATCTATGCTAATACAAGATCAGTTGTTTGTGTTTGGGGCACTGTGGACAGAGGGGAAAGGAGGTAAGATTGAAAAAATACTTAGAGAAATAACAGATGAAATGTCCCAGTTTGGCAGCACACACATGCATTCACACCCCCACACCCTCCTTGAGATTAATGAAGCTAAAATAAAACACAGGATGAAGACAAAGAATCCTATACTATGACACATCAAGCCACAATCCTGAGAATGAAAGCAAGAGCACAGCACTTACAGGAGAAAACAATTCCCGTGTCCATGGAGGTCAGAATAAAGTGACACATTTTTCAAGTGCTGAAAGATCCCAAGTCCCTCATCAAGAAAATACTATCCATCGATGAAAGAGAAATCAACGCACGGCCAGGTAAAGGAAGAGGATTTGTGTCAAGAGCTTTATCCTAGAAGAATGGTTAGAGAAAGTTTTTAAAACAAACAAGAACCTTGAAACACCATGAAGAGACAACAAAAGAATTTGAAAAATATAGAATGTTCTTCTCAAGGTTCCTAAATGATGACAACACCATACTATAAGTTACAGATTTATAATGCTACACCCAAAGCAACTGCCAGAGAAGCTACACAACGAGTTACATTAAAAAATACATGAATCAAAAAGAATTCTCAAAAATGCTCAAATAACACATAACAGAGAAAAACCAAATACAAAAAAAGGCATAACAGACTCTAACATTCAAATAATTAGGTTAAATTTCAATGGTATAAATATGCCAATTTTCATGTGCTTAAACATATGGGATTACTATTTTCTAAAAGGAACTCTTTCCAAGAATATATAGGTGAATCCAAAGCCAAAGAATGAGCTTATCATTTAAACGCTAGCCCAAAGGAAATGGTGGGCATAGTAACACCCCAGAATTTAAACTTCAGAACAACGAAAACTAATAGGGGAGCATTACATATGATAAAAATAGTCCACCAAGAAAATAGACTACTACTAACTATATATGCAATGAACAACAACATTGCAAAAATGTGGGAATTGAACTACAAATCTAAAATCATAGTTGGAGACTTCATCCTTATTCCATCAACTGATAGAACAATTTGACATAAAACCAAAACTACCTAGAAAATTTGTGGCAGGAAAATAAGTATTAGAAAGGAAACATTTAAAAGATCATTTATTTGACATTGTCTGTACCAACAATGTCGGGGTACACTTAAATAACGGACTGACAGAAATGATTCCATATGAAGGAGTACACCATTGTAGAATGGGGAAAATCTGTTGGGGATGGGAGTTTTGGGGGAATCCTAGCCTATATGAAATTGTACCACATAATTCAAAATTCAAAATTAAAATATATTAAAAAAAGAAATGCAGAGTTAGAGAAAGTGAAAAAGATAGAGAAAACATACATCCACCTATCTATTGCTTACTCTCCAAAGGGCCACAATAGCTAGAGGTGAGTAAGGCTAAAATCAGGAGTCAAAAACTTCATCTAGGTCTCCCACAGGGGAGGCAAGGCCCCAAGTACTTAGGCCGTCACCTGGTGCCTTCCCAGAAGCATTCGCAGGAATCTGGATGGGAACTGGAACAAAGTGGTCTTGAACTGACACTCTAATTAGGGATGCCAACATTGCAAGTGGAAGCTTAATCTACTGAACCATGATGCCAGCTCCAAATAAAGCACTTTAAAAGGGTCAGAGAAGACGAAGTAAATGAAAATATCAAAATCTATGCAAAATCAATGCTGAAGGAAATTTATAACTCCAAATGCTTATATTTGGCAATTGAGAGGTCTCAACTCCCTAATTTAAGCTCTTACTTCACCAACTAGAAGGAAAAAGAACAAAATAAACCCAAAGCAAGTACAAGTAACACTAAGCATAAATGAAATGCAAAAAAAGAAAGAAAGAAAAGAGGGCCGGGGGAATCAGTGAAACAAAGATCTAATTCTTTAAAAAGATCAACAGAACACAACTGACCACAGAAAAAACATAAAACTGCCATTAGCAGGAAAGAAACAGAGGAAATTTCACTACAGACACTGCAAACATCAAAGGAATAGAAGGGAATAAATGAATAGTTCTACGCATATATTCCACTGCTTGGATGAAATGAGCCAATTAAGAAATATGACCTACACTACACCAAGTTGCCCTTTATGAAACAGATCATCTCAATTTCCCTATAACCAACAGGGTTCAAACAGCATTCATTTTGGCCTCAAAGCTCACCCCAAACCCCCGCCCCACAGACCAAGCAGCAGCCCTCATCTATGCATGCTTACTAAGCACAACATCTATTCTTTTCCATACTGAACAATGAGTTCACCTAACCTTGAAATGCTTCCTTCAACCCTGTCCAACCGTAGAACATAACGAGTGGTACCACCTGGCCAACAAGCATGTCCTACAGCATGTCCTGGTCAGAGGCAATCACAGTACCTAGCCATCAGCTGTGCCTGACCACAAAGCCCCACTAGATGCCCAACCTTAACTCAAATCAAAGGTAGCAGCTTGCTATCTAGAAAACTCAAAAACAAAGTCAGTCTGACAAGAATCACTGCCAGCTAGCCTACCCAGGCTGAATTAAACACCTGGAAAAGCCAGAAACTCTGTTGTCTTCTCAAAGGCACAGATGCCAGTGCAAGGACACCAAGACTACAAAGACACACAAAAAATCACATTTCTAAAAAAACTCACAAACCAACAATGGCCACTAAAGAAATGGAGATCTGTGAAATAACTGACAAAGAATCCAGAATAATCTTCAAAGAAGTTCAGCAAACTCTAAGAATATAGAGCTGAAAAACAGAACAAATTTGGAAAACAACAGAAGCTTGACAAAGACAATTTAGAAAACCTTATGGTAAATCCTAGAGAAAAATAAAATCACCAAAATGAATAAATCAATAGGAAGTCTCAATAGCAGGCTTTATCAAGCTGAAGAAAAAGCATTAGTGAAGTCAAAATATTACCCAGAGGAACAAAATAATCTGAGTTATATTAAATGAAATGAATCAAACCCAAGGATTGTATCTTCTATGATTCTTCTTATATAATATCTTTCTAAAACCATTTTGTCATGTCCTCATTAACAAGCGATACAAATATGCAGTGTGTATCATTTGATCTGTCTGAAGATAAGTACATGTACCTGAACATCCATAATCTATGTAACTCCAACAATATCCTCTTATTGTTAATGATATCATTCCTGGTCAGACAAAGTTATAGAAAGGGGGACATACCAGTGGTTGCCACAGGTTAAGGAGACAGTAGAAACAGGAACAAGGTAACAAGTGCAAATAGCCTAAAAGTCAACAGTAGGGATCCTGTGGTGGTAGAGATGAGTCTGTATTTGATTACACCAAGGCAAATGTCCTGAATATTGCCATGATCATCTAAAGCTTTTGCAAGATATTATCCTCTTGGAGGAAAACAGGAAAAGACAAGTGGGGGACTTATGGTATATTTTCTTACAACTGCATCTTAATCACCACAATCTCAAAAAATGTAATAAAACCAGCAACCCTATTAAAGAAAACCCTGACTCCCGGAGATCCTACAAAACAGAATTAACTGTCTCATACGGCTTCATCCCTCTTCTTCCCATAGGCAAAAAGATGAGATTAGGTGACTAAGAATGCTCACCAAGGTCCTTTATAGTATGGTGATCACAAAATGGTACATTAGGGAAAAAAAGCACTTAAAGTCGGTTAGATTGAATCATAAAGGCAGTGCATTGTGACTTTCTAATTGTACTGTACCTGCTCTCACACTACACTTTCAAACTTTGGCTTTTGAAACTTATATAAACACATGGCATATCAAGACTTACTTGCTCCTTTCTGGCTTCATTCTTTTAACATTCAATCTCCAAGTTACAAAGGTTTTATTAATTCTGAAAGGAAAGACACTTCTTACATTCGGTGCTCATAAGTCATGTATTCATATAGAATATATTTAGGAAAAGCTTAGTATTAGGGAATTCTGTAAAGCACGTATCATCTTGAGTGATGAAATACTGAAGTGTACAAATTCTCTCTCAAGTCATCAACAGAATATAGAGCAAAAGGCAAGTGTAAAGTCATTTTAATTTGCATGGATAAAAGAGTTTGTTATTTCCTTTTTTTCTTTATTTATTTAAAAGGCAGAGTTACAGAGAGAAGGAGAAACAGAGGACTTCCATCTATTGGTTCACTCCCTAAATGACCGCAATGGCAGCAGCTGAACCAATCTGAAGCCAGGAACTTCTTCCAGATCTCCCACGTGGGTGTAGGGCTCCAAGGACTTGAGCCATCCTCCTGTGCTTTCCCAGAGCTGCATCAGAAGTAGAACCGCAAAGGACTTGAACTTGTACCCACGTGGGAGGCCAGTGCCACAGGCATAAGCTTAGTCTACTGCACCACAGTGCCAACCCCTATTTCCAAAATTCTAATAAATATTAAAAAGTATAAATACATATTATACATTAAAATTTTACTGGTTTACTATGTTAAAAAGAGGCTCTTCGGGGAAATTCAACATTTAATTTCTCACGAGATGATGAAGAGGTACATCGATTTAATTTTTTAAGATAATAGATATCATCTTGACATTATTCAATATTAATGAAAGGAGACATTTATGATTTAAAAACTCAACCTGTATGAATAATTGAAAAGTCTCCTTCTGTGATTACTTGTCAGTCATAATTTTCATCAATGGAACATATACGCTCACCACTTAAACAATGTCCCTCACCTCAATAGGAGAATATGAGAGACTTATTCAGTACACCCTCACAATCAGTTCCTGAAGAGCCTCTGCATCTTACGGAGAAGAGCCACTTTTAAATAACTGCTGAGGTGTGAGTTTCCTTTTATAGCTGGTTAAGAGCCAGAATGGAGGGGGAAATGGCAGGCATGGGAGGATGGCAGCCAGAAAATTGGCCGATTTTGAAACGCAGAAAATTGAAGGAGTTCCGGAGGTGTCTGGCAGCTCTGAGAGAATCATATATTATTCAAAGAAACTGAGTGAGGCCTTGTAAGTTAGAAATGTCTCAAGTCAGTCTTGTGACTGGGGGCAGGCATCATGATACAGTAGGCTAAGTCGTTGCTTGTGACACACGAATCTCAATGAGGGCCCAAGTTGCCCACCACGGAGACAAGGATGGAGTTCCACATTGCTGGTTTTGGCATGAACCAGTCCCAGCTGTTCCCAAATTTGGGGAATGCAAGAGGATGGAAGCTCTCCCTCTCATTCTACCTTTTAAACAGACAAAAAACTCATTAAAATATTATTTGTTTTCTGAGTCCTCAGGAAATAACAGACGACTGCAAGAAAAGATAGACGTTTGAGAGAAACCAATAAAATTAATTATAAACTAGGTACAAACTAAAAAACATCAGTGTGTTAATTTATGGATGATCTGAGGCTGAGGAATCCTGATGTAGCTCAAGTAGCTGGATTCCCACATGGAACACCCAGAACTCCTGGCCTTGGTCTGAACAAGCTAATGTGGGCATTCAGGGAGTGAGCCGATGCATGGCCGATTTTAACTCTGACTCTGCCTTTCATATAAAATGAATATAGTAAGCTAATATTAATTTCATGAACAAAATAAATCCTAGGAAAAAGTAAAATCAAGACAGTATAAGTTTACTTGACTATAAAATACCGTTTTTGTCATATTCATAATGTTTTAAATGGAGAGTTTTAATACCTAAATAAGTAAGATTTGAAAAAAGATTTTGTGGAATACTCTACTTCTATAATTTTCCATAAATATGTCATTATTATGGTTTAAGAAATTCAAATGACAGAGTTGGTTTTGTTTGTACTCCTCTCACCGGAATTTGGAAAATATCTTGAAATGCTGTAATAAGTAGCAGTATTTTCTTTCCGATAGCCATCGCAAAGTAGGCGTGAGTTCTCCTACATCCATGCCCTCAACTTTATTGACAACCTGCAATTATAAAGCAAAAAAACGTTAATTTCTTTAAAGGTACCATCTTTAAGAAATTAAGAAATCCTGTATTTGACTTATACCTCCTTGCCTTTATAATTAATTTTTCCCACATCTGAATCCTTAGGTACTTTATTTACACCTAAATTTGACACCTGCCATCACTCTGCTTCTGACCTTGCCTTTTCTCATGCTATTTCTTGTGCTCCATCAGAGAGAAGAAGCTTTCTCCCCAGTCTAAGATACCTTCCACAACGGCCTTTCAAATTATGAGCCTCATAATTTTCAGTTTCTATAAAAGCACTGTTTATGAACTTTATTGTACCACCAGAGATAGAGCAGCCCAACATAGCTTATAATCCTACAATCCAGATACCCCCTCATGCCATTCAGAAAAGTCACATCCTCTCTGTCAAGGAATTCTTTCTCAGGAGTTTCTCTCTCCTATCCAAATGCTCACATCTGATTAAATTTCTTCCAGAAAGAGTATGCCTATGCCATCAGCAATATGTATCATGTATGTCTCCATGTATACCGACACCATTCTCTTCATTTACACTTGATACGGCATGTTACAGATATTTCCATATCTACACACACTCAGCCTCATATAAATGTGGTCCTGCCCACATATACTTCACAGTTTCAGTTGGGAGATTGGGAAGACAGAGAGCAAACAGGCAGATATGAAGCAAATGATCAAAACAAGGGAGGCTGTAACTACGACTTGCACTAAGTAGCAAAGCACTGTGCAAGAGCATAAATAGAGCATTTCTGTATCTGACAAAGGAGCTCTGATAAACATGCCAGTGGGAGGAGCGTGACCTTTCCGTTATTGATATACTTAATATTATGCCAGAAAAGACCTGTTTTCTAGTTCTTTAAAAGATTGTAAACAAATAAAGGATTTGAGAGGCAAAAAAAAAAAAAAATCCCAGAATTGAACCTTGAAAGTGAAAACTCTACCAAGAAAAAACATCACTAGTAATAACTTTGTTCCCAAGAGGATTGTTAAATTTAAATTGCTCTCAAAGGACTGGGTTTCTCAAACACAGAGATAAATTTGTGCTATCAAGTTCTAAGTTCAGCAATATTTTGTTGTTCTGAATGCTGAGAACAGCCATTCAATATTACCTTTGAGACAAACGATGCAGTAACAATCCAAAATTCTTCACTTTGTTTAGCCTTGGAGGTGGACACTACCTGAAGGTCATATGGGTTGTAAAGCGCATTAAAAGGATGAACCCGAGGAAGGCAATATACAAGCTCTCCATCATCATTCAAAGGTTGCTGATGTAAAAAAAAAAAAATCAATTTGACTACAATAACTAATGAAATGACTAAAACAAAAATCATCCAATAAATCAAAACAAGGTTACTACAGATTAAAACTATCATTGTGGAAAGCTAGCATCAAATTGTATCTAATCAAAATTAAACTAGAGTAATCTCAGGAAAAGTAAGCATGCTTACTTTCATTATTAAACATAATTTGGTGATAGAACTTCAGGCAACTTTTATCTATATGCTTATTAATGTATATTATTACTTAATAACCCCAAGAACTTGGTGACAGCCTTTAACATACATGAAACTTTCCACTAAGTTTGTCTGCCAACATCAATGCCTTTTGGCTTATTAAATTTAGCACTTGCTTTTATATTAATGAAGCCTTAAGTATTTACTAGTTACTTAACAAATTTTAATACCAAGTAATGTGTGCACATACATTATCCTTAAAACCATTAGGAGATCAATGTCAACTTTAATATTTTTTTTTTTTTAAGGAAAAGTAAAAAAGAACCCTAGTGCTCTACCATAGTGGCAGGAGGAAAATGAGAACCCTAGTGCTCTGCCATAGTGGCAGGAGGACAAGAAGCAAAACCCGTATTAATGGTGGGGAATGCACCTTTTAAAGGTTTCCCTCAAAGATGTTTCTCCATGAACAAGAAAATCTAGTTTCCATGTACCTGGCCTTGGGACAAAAGGCCACAAGGTCCCAGACATAGGACATTCCAGGCCTGGGCAGATGTGTATTACTTCTTCTGCTCTCCTTTCAACGATAAAGGATCGGCCTGGCTCACAGTCGAGGTTGGGTTCCGATAGTTTCTGGTGGGGAATGATATGCTAATAGCACACCTGTCCCTTGGGAGAGACATACTTCTGGTGAGTTTCAAGACATGGTCGGCGAAACCTTCTCACATCAGTATGCCATACTGGTCGGTGATTGCCCATAACTCCTGCCCCATCTCTGTGACCACGGTGGATCCAGCTCAATCCTACCCACTCTACTGTCTCATGCAACTCGAAGAAGTAACCCTAACTGCTGTTAGGGGACTGGGACGACGACTGGGAGACTGCATAAGTTCCTTTTGGGCCAGACTGATTTACCAACCCACATGGAAATCCCGAGATGGGCTGTTAGCATAGAGCATCACTGATTGCTACATACCAGTTCATACAAAAGCTATGACTGGGGGCATGTCTGGCAGGGCTAGGTACCAGTATCTGACTGAGTGGTGGAACAGGGGATGGGTCACACTTGGCAGGGTCAGGATACTAACCAACATGTGAGAGGACCAGATCTAGGGATAGATTCACAGGGGAAGTATGGGCCCAATCCTGTGGAAATACAAGTCCCACTGGTTAGCTCAAGAGTTGGGGTGGTGATGGGCTGAGCTAGGTATAACCATAGAACCTGCCATCACTTACAGGTAAGGGAACTGACAACAGTCTGGGCAGCTCAAGGCAGCAGCACCTGAATGTGCATCCAAAAACAGGATGTGGGGTGGGCTGAGCTGCAACTCGAAGGGGGCCAAACAAACCTTAACTCACAAGGAAGAACAGAATCAGGATGTTGCACAGGTCATGCCGAGCTAGGCTCTTACCCTGACTGGTCTGCACGAGCCAGGGATACAGGACACAGCAATGAAGGCAAAGGCTGAGACAGGTGAGGGGCTAAGCCATCTGGGTCAGCGCAACCACTGGCATGCACACAATCTATGGTTGGGAACAGGTCTAACTGGGGAGCTAAGAAGACACCCTAACTGGGTTGGGGTTCCCACTGGTGAGTCCGGGGACTGGAGTGGGGGCTGTGTTCTGGTCTGGATATGGCTGCAGTCTCCCTTGGCATAAGTGTGGACTGGGAATGGATGCACCAGGCCGGACTGGACTCCAATACCATCTAGTGATCCGGAGAACCAGGGTATATGTAAGATGGACTAGGCAAGGTTTCTGCCCCTACTGAGCCATGTGTGAGCTGTGTCTGGGTATGGATAATCCTTGGCTTGGCTGAAACATCCAAATGTAAGAACTGGAATAGGTTGAAGGCCAGTCAGGAAAGGCCACTGTTCCTGCTAGGCCAGGAGATGGACTAAGTAGGGCTGGCTCATGGACCCACCAGTATGCATGAGATCTGGCAATGGGAGAGGTTCTGATGAAGGAGCCTGGGCAACTCCTCTGGCAGGACACAGTAGATGCAGGTCAGTGCAAGAACCACGATAAGGAGCAGCCCAGACCAGGCCAGGGAAAGGTACCTACTGGCATACATTTAGCATAGGTCAGAGGCAAACCAGGCTGAACAAGTTCACATCACCCGTTGGCAAATCTGAGCTCCAGAACAGAGTGTGGGTCAGACCAGGTTCAGTCGCAACACATACCAGTGTACATTATGGCTGGGATTGGCTGCCTGCTGGGCTGGGCTAGGCTATAACCCTCACCAGCATCAGCTGGAATTGGGGGTGGGCCAGGCTTGGTCAGGCTACAACACCCATTAGCAAATGGCAAGGTGAGGTAGGCCATACCAGACTGGGCCACAGCACCCAACTAGCACATGTGAGAACCAGGGAAGGAGGGGGCAAAGCTGGCAGGGGGAATGTGGAGGGCTCCCCTGGTGGGCAGCCACTCCAACTGGAGAGCGTGAACTGGGATGGGGGCAGACCAGACCAGGCAGGGCTGCAACACCTGTGGGCCTCATGTAAGCTAGATCAGGGAAAAGCTAGACTAGGCTGATTGCGCCTTCTGGTGCAAGCATAAATTAGAGTGGGTGAGGGATCGTTGGGCTTTAGACTGGGGGCTAAGTCTATCAAGCTAAACTCCAGAACAACCTGGAGAGTGCATAATCCAGGAGAGGGAGTGGCCTAGGAGGGAAACAGTGGGTGCCTCCCTCTTGGGTTACCACTCCCACTGGAGAGCATGAAAACCAGGATTGGGGCAGGGGTGGCTAGACAGAACAGCACCCGTCAATATGTATGTGGGCTGGATAATAGGGCAGGTTAGGTTGCAATGGGCTTCAATGCCCACTGACATGTACGAGAGCTAAATGGCATGTGGGACAGACTGAACAAGTCTGTGGTACATAGTGGCAAGCATGGGAATCAGGGTTGGGTTAGGCCTGGAGGGGGTTATAGGGAGTCACCCCAACTAGGCTGAAGCTCCCACTGGTTTTTGCATGAGGGCAGAGTATGAAGTGGGTAGGATCGGGCTGGACAGCAACAACCATTGGTTCGCGTAGAAGACATGGCTGGAAACAAAACTGCAAACAAAATTGCTGGACCGACCCAGCAACTGCAACAACCAGCATGTGCATAAGCTGATTGAGGCGACGGACTGTGCCAGACCCTGTACTGGCAAGCACACACAACAATCAGGTCTGGGATCACCTCAGACGAAGTTTCTCTGGGGAGCCCTCCAACTGAACTGCTGATCTCAGAACCCCAATCATGAAGAGACTATCAGCCAGTGGATTCTGAAGAGATTTCATCATGCTTGTAGTGGTGAGATTGGCAGCAATACAGAACTGTTCAACTATGAAAACTGCATGAACAGGACCTTCAGAGCATGCCCCAAGTCAGAGACCTGGGAGGGGTGGGAGCCTGGGTGGGGCTTTTCCTTTTATCTCTTTCCTTACCAAGGACACAGAAAAAAATTAATAACATAAATGTGGAAACAATGGTCTTACCCAGTTTCCTGTAGCCCTTGACTCTTCGTGCCCTAATCAACTATTTAAGGAATAATTGCCAAAATAAAAGAATTCTAAAAGAAAAAAAAAATCCAACTCTGAGTAAAAGCATGTCCTGAACTATGCAATAAATGATATTAACTGTCTGTCATTTATTTGGTATTATTGAAAAATCTTTCCCATTTCTAAAAATGCTTAAGTGAAATTTATTTTACTTTAAAAGGATTAACTTTTATTAATGAAAGCCATCTAAAATTATAAGGAAGTCTAATTTGGTCTTCTTTGGGTTACTGAGATATATTGTTAAAACTACTTAATATTCAGTAATGTTCCCACAAACTTCTAAATAGTTTCTCACTGAAGTGATTTTGAACCCCGTTTCATAATATTTTTATTTTTGGAAGGTTATTTATTTCTGTCTCAGTTGCTTCCACCTCCCTCCCTCCCTCCCTTCTCTGTCTCTCTCTCCCTTCTCCCTCACTCCCTTCCTGTCTCTCAAATGAAATGGAGGGAAGAAAATCTGATTTTAAAATGACAAATAAAGGCAGAGTGATGGCTCACATAGTATATGTGCTTTGTTATAGCTATATGGTCATTTGAAACATGCGTTCTCTAAATTATGTTTCAAAATGTGAGGTTACTAGAAACTTAGGTTACATACAATGCTTTTACACCAATTACACATATAATTTAAAATTCAGCTAGAGAACCATAATATGTTCCAGGTAACAAATTCTTCTTCAAATGAAAACAAACGTTTGTTCATATTCTTACATACAAATAAAACACTTTCTTTGGAAGTCCATGGCACCTTGTGTAGCTAGGACTTCTTTTAATTACTAAATACACTGTCAAGTCCCATGGCACAAGTTTCACCTCATTTAGTCTTCGCCACTCTGGGCATAACTATTGTCTTCATTTCAAGGTCAAAGAAAACAAAGCTCACAGCGGGCAGGAACATGCCCAAGGTAGTATAGTGTGTGTAGATAATTAAAATTAGGTGTGTCTGTTCCCTTTATGCATATACTTTTTTATATTGTGCCACCTCCAAACAATGATCAAAAGATCATCTATTCTCCTAGGAACAATCTAGAGCAGCAAGGCACCAACCATGGCCAGGTGCCAGATTTTGTAAATAAATCTTGACTGGAACATAGTCCCTTCTGTTATGTCCTATGCATGCCTTTCCATTACAATGACAGGAATTACATGGCTGCAAAGTCTCCACTAGCCACAAGCTGCTCCTTTTTCAGGAAACAGTTGGTTGATCCCTTGTTTGCAGCAACGGTTCTTGATTGCTCATCAGATCACCAGCAGAGCTCAATAAAATGTGGATGGTTAGGTCCTTCCAGTTTACACCTTCAGCCCACTGAATCAGAAATGAGAATATGTATTCCTAATGCAGCCCGAGCTGAAGCTGATGTTGTGACCTGTCTGGGGATTGCACCATGAGAATCGCTCAGCTGAAGGTCGGAACACAGGACGTTGCTCAGCCAGTCTGCTGTGATACACCCGGAGGAGGGAGAGCCTAGGTCTTGCCAGGACTTCCTCCCTTGGGTAACACAATCTTGGACAAGATCACCTTTTTCTGAACAAAGAGGCTAATGAGTAAGGACAGAACGGAAAAGATAAAGAGATTATGGTGTGAAAATCAGGTGCCAACAACTTGCAGTGAGGACAGACTGTCAGAAAAATTACACTAGGATATCTTTTTAAATCACAACATACACGCACACACACACACACACACACAATTGATAATAGAGAACAAAGTTTAGATTCACATTTCAGGCAGATGGCACCCCGAGGACCTGATGAGAATAAGTGATAAGAGGAGAGACAAATATTTTGAAGTATTATAGCCTTATCCTATCCATTTTTCATTCCTTAAATAAGTAAAATAAAGCGATGTTTAGTACTTTAATCAGCATTTTCCACTCAACAATTTGATGCTAGTGTAACAATAGAAGGAAATGAAACAAATGAACTAAAAATAAAAATTAAAACAATTTGGAACAATTTGTTTTTATAATTCAAAATGGAATAAAATGGTGGAACAATACCTTTTGTATACTCTTTGGAATATATTTTTCACAAGGTCTATGTTTCAAAGTGTGTTGTGGTAATGTCATTGGCTAATCAAGCTTTTCTCTTAGCCTAAAAATATTTCTTATCACATCATCATCTTTTGGTTCTGGTATAAAATATTAAAATAAAACTCTGCCATAAGTGCAAAGAACAGCATCCCTTAAGGATAACTTATTTCAAATTTTGCTGTATAAAGAAAAATATTTACATGGCAACCTAAAAGTTTACACAGAGCACAAGTACAGAGAAAATTAGCTATTAACAGGAGCAAAGAAGGAATGGTGTTTATCCACCTGGGTAAACACCACACGGGGTGGATGCTTAGCCCTGGGGTTGAGGGTCCGGTTAACAAGCACATGTGCCACACTGGCATGCATAGACTCAGTATACACACCAGTGGCCTGACTCCTGCTTCTTGCCAATGCACACCCTGGCAGGCAGTGGGGATTACTCAAGTTGTCTTATGAAACATTGCCCAAGTATAAATTATTCAGGGGGACTTAGCAGATTGCAAGATTCTGTAGCCTTCTGGAAAATGAAGGCACGTGGAGGAAGATAAGGAGTAATTTCCAAAGAACAAAATTTAAGGAATACCCATGTTCTAAAAACCTAGAAAGTTTCTAAAAAAAAACCCTGAATTTCTAACAGAATCATGAATGCTAACTAAAAAGAAAAATATAAGCGGCTTTAAAAAGTTCATGGCATTGTTACCTTATCTTTTAATTCTATTTTTTCAGAAACCCTTTTTACTCACTGGTATGCTATACTCAGACTTGGAGAAAGTCTGGCCTACATTCCACTTTTACACTGAGATAAGAACAAACAGCACAGACAAGCAAGAAATTTCAAAGTTCAAGTGGAACTTTCTAGAGGAAAATCATTGGAAAATAAAAATAAAGCACAGCAAAAGTTTAGTTTGTCTATCCAGTTGCAATTCCATATCCTTTATTACCATAATGCCACCTCATTACAAAAATCACAACTTTCAGAAATTGAAAACAATTCTTTAAGCAATCAAACAGAAAATTCAGTAAATTGTTCTGAAATCAGTTTCTGTGTCAGCACACAAACCACAGAGCAATGTGAAACAGCCTCATGTTTCCTCTCAATAGGAGGGTTGAGAGGAACACTCACCTGTGGTATCATAATGTGGAACTTTGGCTTTCCTCATCCTGGGACACACTTGGGTTTCATCCTCTTTTTCCTTTGGTTTCTCTTTCTTTTTAGGAGTCCCTGGCTTCGGAACAACTACGGGTTTTTGAGTAATACCTTCCATGAAATAATCTGAAAATGAAATCTTAGTTCGTTAACCAGCAGGTGCTATAAATAATGTCACAGTACACATTTAATGCAATGTAGTCGCTCATCACATGAGGCTAACGCTCATCACGTGAGGCCATAGGCCCTGGGTCAAACTGCCTGGGTCCCAAGCTCAGACATAAACCTTACCACTCACGTCTGCAATCAACCCTGTGAATTATTTGCCTGTGTCACTTTTCTCAGCGTTGAAGGAAGGTTTTTGTTTTTTTGTTTATTTGTTTGTTTATTTGTAAGTGTCACATAGGTTTGTTGCCAAGAATTAATTCACTTAAAGCACATAGTCAGTGCTTGCTAAGGAGCCATGCTGTTAATTTTACTATGACAGTACACTTAATTTTAGCCAAAAGGTCAGGAAGCAGCTGATTCTATTCCTTTACATCTTTAATGTGTGACTTCTCATGAAATATGGGAAAAAAAACTCTTTATTAACCGTAATTTGGCAACTGAATCCAGAACATATTTAGATATAAATGTTAAAAAGTAGCAAAAGAAAGTCTACTTTTCATATTTTTTTATGGCTTGCATAACTGGCACATTTTAAGCACACAGAAGAATGGAAAGGTTATCGAAAATAGGACATTTTATAAGTGAATGGATTTCACAAGTCCTCATTTATTTCATATCTATGTAGTACAAATCCCTGAGCTACGAGGTAATAGGAGTTTAGACATAATAATCACAAACAAAATAATTACAAAATAAAGAGCCTGTCAATTGCTAATGAAGAGAGCCATTATCTCCAGTTTGCATAACCAGAGATCACACACCAACCCTGTTCCAGGCATCTGAGGGTAAGGTTTTCAACTGTGACTTGGGGTCGAGGGGAGGGGAATACAGATGGGGGATGAGACAAAGACTGGGCTGGTACTGCAGCTCAGCTGGTTAAGACATAATCTGCAATGCTGGCAACCCACATCAAAATGTCCACTTGAGTGCTGGCTGTTTCACTTCCATCCAGCTCCTTGGTAATGTGCCTGGGGACACTTGCAGAAGTTGGCCCAAATCTCTGGACCCCTATCACTCATAGAGGAGATCCAGATGGAGTTCCTGGCTCTACTGCTTGGGAAATTAATCAGTGCATAGAAGATTTTCTTTCTTTCTCTCTAATTCTGCCTTTTAAATAAACAAATCAAAGAAAAATTCAAACATTGTCCAGACCACAATAAGATACTTGGTTGGCTTTATGAATATTGTACAAGAGTTGTGAAAAACGTCATCCATCTTTAACCTGTTCCATGAGTTTCTCCCTGCTCCTTGCATCAACAGGAGCCCTGACGACACCACCGAGCTCCTCGTGTTAACAGGAATTACAGGTATTCAGCTCTCTGAAGCAGCTATGGTTTACATTCTCTCCTTGGGTGGATAGAAGACAGTGATCAGGATTCTCTTTCTCCTTGATCTCAATCACCACTTCCAAATCATTACAACTTGCCCTCTTTTAAAGATAAGCTCCAGCTCCTCTGAAGTTCATGTCTTTTTGTTGCACTGTACTCTTCCACTTTCATCAAGAGCATTAATCCACTGGAACATAACTTTCTTATCACCCATTACCCTTTCATTTCTGTTTACCCTGTTTGTTATCCAGGGCAGATTATGCTGTCTTTCCACACACTCTTGCCAATTTGCTAAGCTCTTTCTCTTTGGTCTACATGGCAAAACATCAACCTTGCACAAACTCAAACCTATGAGTTCTTTAAAGCTGCACATCCCAGTGCTGTGAGACATCCCACAAGTAGATGGGTTGGTAGTTTTCCATTTTAATTAAGTACTAATAGACCCTGGACACATAAGAAAAATGTTATTGTCTTATTAACTTGCTCTCCCAACACTCTTCAATGACTTCAGATTTTCACACTGCAAAAATCTTTAAACCTTAACCTTCCAGCTCTCTCCTTCAACAGATCTCAATGCCTAATTCCCTGGGAACAGAGGAGAATCCCTGTAACTTGCCACTGCCAAACAAACCAACAGCTCATGTTTGTTTTATTCCTCCTGGTTTAATAAAGAGGGAAGGAATGTCTTTCCTCTTATCCAAGATCAGTCCTTGACACATCATTTTGCTTAGATCCCATTTCTCCATGCATGCACCATTAAACTGTTCCTTTGCACATCCAAGCAACCCCTAACTTAAACAAAATATATTGTTTGGCCATCTCTCTCCTGTTGTTAATCCGTGCTTGTCTTTTGCAACAGTTGAACTTCACAACAATTGCATACTCTTCTGTTTCCTCCTCCATTTCTTAATCCAGAAATCCTACCAAAACACAGCACACAAGTAAGGCCAATGGGCAGTTTTCAGTCATCATTTTACTGAAGTTGTTGGTATTATCTGGTCTTCAGACTACTCCTTTCTTACATTTTTTAAAATTAAGCAATCCATAAAAATATACACATTTGTGGGATACATATGACCTCAAACCCTGATCATTTCTTTATAGTGAAACCATTTAAGATCCCTTCTTCTAGCATTGTAAAAAATCCACAGTTCATTACTGCTGTCTGGAGTTGGTCTAGCATGCAGTAGAAACTAGAGCTGCTTGTTCCTGTCCACTGGTTAACTTTTCTTCATCCTTCTCTCTCCTTACCACTCTTTCCAGTCTCTGATAACCACCATGCTACCCTCAACTGCTGTCAGGCCAACTTTTCTAGATCAGGCTTCATCTGTCTTCGCCTGGTTTACCTCACTGAGTCTAATGGCTCCTCCCACCCCCACTTCTGATGCAACCTTTTCCTTTGTGATGAACAAAAACCAAGGCACAGCACAGAGAGAAGACACTGGGGTCTTGAGAAAATGCTGCCACCACCTTTGAGATCTTCCTCACCAATTAAAAAATGCACATTAGATGATATTCTCTAAGCAGGGATGTCGATCACAGACTGCTATAAAAATAGAAATGCCAAATATTCTTGGTGGCAATGATGTCCCTATTGCTATTTTTATTTTTATTATTGTGGGTATTTGGATTCTAATCAGTATTCAAATTGTTTAAACAAAAAGTCTTTGAAGACCCTTCTAACTGCTATGATGAATGAAAATTAATAAAATATCAAACCTTATATTTTGAAGGTAAACTAACTTTTACTTAATTTCTTATTTTGAGGCCATTTTTAAAAACCCTTTTCATCTTCATAAAATAAAGGATTAAGCAACATGCCTGGTCTTCCTCTCTGTCTCTCCTCCTCTCTGTATATCTGCCTTTCCAATAAAAATAAATAAATCTTAAAAAAAAAAAAAGCAACATGCCTGGGTAGTAATCTTGATCAGTTTCTTCTGTTTTCCCTGACTGGAGTAATCCAGCGAATTTTCTTGGTGTGTCATAGGTTAAGGTCTCCTGTTCTTCTGTTTCATATAGTTCAGTCTCTGTTGCTGTAATTTCTTCATATTGTTCATATGCTACACATCTAGTAGGACAAAGAAAATATTCTGAGAAATAAAAGCATCATCATACCAACAAGACACCGAACTGTTAGCACACTATTCGGAATTTCACTTTTATAATTGCAATGGCATTTTATGGTAAACACGTTACAACTTAAAGATTGAATATTTATTTTGTACTTTATAAGAAAGTGTAATATCTGTCCTTTTGAGTGATTTTTGAGCATGCATTTTGAAAATAAGAGCCAAAATATTTACATTGGAAGTCAAATAGTTAAGTACTCAACAGAGATAAGTGGTTTTAGCATAAGAACATAATGCTATAAATTATTAGTAAAAATGCAAAGTGAGAAGGGATATAAAAATCTTGATTTCATGTTAGATAAAAAATATTATCCATTTATATTAGTGGTAGAACCAACTCAGGACACTCTTCTGAAATTTTACATTTATTTATTAACTTCCTTTATGACAAAGTGAAAAACTCAACTCATTTAAAGTAAAATCTTCCCACAGCATATCAGACAATTTTCTGCTCTGTAAATGCTGGAAAAAACATTTTGCAGCAAATCCCAAATCACTGTCTACAATCTATTGATGCAGGAGGTCATATTTTAAGGCAGCAAAGGAAATTCAGACTGTGCAACTCCTTTTGTGTGTGTGTTGTTGCATGTGGTGTGTGTATGTGTGTGTGTGTGTGTGTGTGTGTGTGTGTGTGTGGGTGGTGTGTGTGTGTTTTGGAGGGGGAGTCCCTATTGGTGTATTAAACAACAATAATCATATAACTAAGAAGGCGCTACTTTTTTCAGGGACAAGTAAGGCATAAGTTCTTATTCATAAAGCTTAGAAACAGACAGGAAACAGGCAGTGGGGATGCACTCATAACTCACTGGGTGGGACACAAAGATTAGTTACTCCTCACTAAGGGATTGAAGATTTCTCTGCACACCCCTTCTAAAACTGTTCTGCACCTAAACTGTTGACATATGTCTTGTTAGAGTTATAGAGTTAGACTACCTGAAAAACAGCCAGGTTCTGCAAAATCATGCTTTAATGCTATAAACTGCTAAATACTAAAATTAAAATAGACATGAGACAGCTGAATAGTAATCTATAGCCATTTTAAGGTGTATAGAACCCAGTTGTATATAAACTAACAATTGAAATGTCAATGTAGAAGCATAGGATGTGGTTCAGAACTTGCACTCTTTTCTCTCTCTCTCTCTCTCTCTCGTAACATGTTGGTTACACAATACCATGTCAACTAATTCCATTACGTTATAAATTGTTACTGATGTAATGTTGGGGCTTTTAATTGATTGGGATGATACTCTGTCAGCTCTACCTTCAGACAAGAGATGGTCTCCCCAAGAAACCGTTGAACTTCTCTGGACAATAAGATGCTGGACTCTGCTTTGTAGATGCTTGTAATGAAAGAATTTCAACTGAATTTGAACTGTGGTAATGCAACAAGGTGGAGGAATCCACCATGGGGGGGGGGCAGGTTTTGGGGAGGGGAGGTGGGAATCCCAGTGCCTATAAAACTGTGTCACATAATGCAATGTAATCAATAAAAAAAGGATAAAAAATAAGTTCTTATTCATAACCAGTTCATCAGGTATCACTAAATATGTTCTCTTTGAACTCTTTTGAGACCCCATTGGTTTATAAACATTTTGCAAAGTTTCCCCTTGAAACTCTAACCTACAGACAGACACACACACACACACACACACACACACACACGGAGCATCTGTGCCCAAACATTGCCTACTATTCCTCAAAGAATCTCAGAATTTCATCTGGGACATTGTTCTTTCCCATAGTTTCAGTCTTGGAGCCTTGTGGCCTGGGAGACTGGAAGAACAAGAAGGGGAAGATGGTGCCCAGGGGCAGACGTGGGCACCCACTTCTGTAATCAACCACTCACTCATTTCCACCCTTGGCCCACACAGGGTGCCGAGGTGCTGACACCCCCCAGCCTCTGGCTGATTTGGCTGCTACTGTGGCTTCCTGTCTTGCATTGGTGACAGCATAGATGCTGATGCCCCAAGAAGAATGTGGGAAAGGACAAAACACACAGCTGTGCCCAAACTTCTTCCATCTGCTTGGTGCTGCCACTTTCTGTACGAAGTCCACATCTGTTATAAACCTCCCTCTGTGTGGGGTTTCTCAGTTGTCTGTTAATTTCTCATACCCATCAACTCCCTCTTACTTTTTTGGGGGGCGGTGTGCATATCCAAGCTTAGTCTCCAGGGGAGACCCAGCTACCAATGTTGATTTGTTTTGCTAGGAACTCAGTCCCTAAGAAACTAAGGTCTTTACTGACCAGAGCCTTTCACTATCCTCCACAAAACACACTAAGTTTTACACCTTGATGGCTTACCAATGCTGTAAAAATCATATTATGAGGGTGGGGGGAAATTTCATTTTACCATATCTTATGTTTACCTTGGTTTTGTGGTGCTTTCTTCTTCGTATTCTCCTTGAGTTAAAGTAGTAAAATCAATGGGTATAAATGTGGCCATTTTTTTTTAATCTGGAAGAAGTAACAGGATATGAAAATTCACATTGTTTCTATAACCTAAGAGACAATTTTGACAGTTTTGTTACTAATTTCTATTTTTGTTGCAATTTAGTCTGAGTTGATACATGATATGACTATTTTTAAAATTTAAGACTTATAACCTGCCCCATGATCTATCCTCAAAAATATAATATATCTTAGAATGTGTGCTGGAGAGGCCTGTCATTCCAGTCACACCTGGGAGTGATTTAACTCTGCTTTTGTTGTGCTGATTTTCTGTCTAAATGATCTGTCCATTCCTGAAAGTGGCATGCTTTGTCACCCACAATTATTTTACTGGAATCCAGCTCTATGTTCAAGTATATTAATATTTGTTTTATATTTTTGGGTGCTCTGATACTGGGTGCATAGAGAGTAGCATAACTGCCATTTCCACTTCCTGAACTGAACCCTTTCTTTATTATATAATGCCCTTGCTTGTCTCTTTTCACTGTTTAGATAAATCCTATTTATCTGATATAAATACGGCTACTTCAGTTTTATTTTGGGTTTCATTTGTATGGATGATCTTATTCTATCCCTTCATGATCAGTCTATTTGTGTTCTTACAGATGAAATGAGTTTCATGTAAGCATTATACAACAGAGTTTTTTTTTTTAAGAAAAAAATCCATCAATCACTATATGTCTGATCATTGGAAAATTTGACAAATTTGCATTCAAGGTCATTATTCATAGGTAGCATCTTACAATAGCCACTTTCAAATTTTATCATAGTTCTTTCTTTCTTTTCTTCCCTTCTAATTTTTTGTGATTAAGTGATTTTCTCTAGCAATGTGATTCATTATTATTACTATTATTTTGATAAGTGTACTATGGAGTTTTAGTTTGTTTTTACAAGATATTTTGAAATGATAACAATTTGGCAATAATAATAAAGATAGGAAACAAGAAAGATAAGAAAGATTAAAAGTCTGCATTTACATGCTAAGACTGTACTTGATTTTACATCTTTGGAATCGCCTGTCTCTCAATATAGCATTGAAAATATTAGTGTTCACTGTATGTTTTACTTTGTAACATTTCATTTCATTTATTTGGTAAACAAAGAAACAAACTAGAGCTGGAGCTTGAATCCAGGCACTCCAGGTTATGATGCCCAATCAGCATCTTCACCACTACGCCAAACATCTATTCTAGATTCATCTGATTTTCTAAGAGGGAAATTGATGATCAAATTGGAGAACCCAGCCACATGTTACTTAGTGAAATATCCAAAAAATAAAACCACACCAAAAATTTAAAAATATAGTAAAAACATTAAACACATAATTAGCCTATGATCTAGAATTTTTAGGTATATATTCAAAACAATTAAAAGCAGGAACTTTGGATATTTGTTTTCCAAATTTCAGAGTAATATCATACACAATAGTCTGAAACTACAAACAACCAAAATACCCATCGACAAAGAAAATATAAAAAAAAACTAAATGTGGTGTACATATTATCATGTGATGCATACATACAATGGAATATTATTCAGTCTTCAAAATGAAATCCGACTACACACTACGACACAGGTGAACACGAAGACATGTTAAGCAGAACAAATTAAACACAAGAAAATAAACATTCCGCTAGATTCTGATAATCAGAGAGAGTGAAAGACTTAATGGAGCAGATTCTCTCGGGTGAAAAGAATTGAAAAAGTTAAAAATCGCAATTAAACTGATAATCACAGTAATAGAAGGGGCAAAAAAAAAAAAGCTTTCCCAGCAACCATATGCAGATTACATGAGCTTTTTGACTTTTCACTAATTTGTAATAATTCTTCTCACTCTTTCTCCCATACATCTGGGGCCCTATTTGGGTGCTAGGTTGTGCACCATCAATATCAGCTATCCTACCCCCAAAGAAGCTTGACATCATATGGACCAAAATCCCGTTTAAAACCTGGTAATTTTGTTTTAATAACAGTGGTTTTTGTGCTTGTATGGTTGTATCTCATATCCAAGCATCATTGAAATTCCCACAAGCATGTCTATTTCTCCTCTCTGATGTTCTTTTCTGCTCTGCTCACACCTTCAGCTCGCTTGTAAACCTGCTTCTCCAATCTGTAAATAGCTTTTACTTTGGACATAAAGCCCTGTTGTCCTTTGTCCTTCTGTCTATTTTGGCTGACATTTCTTGGTGATGAGGATTCAAAGTGACTCCTTGAGCCTTGCTGGAAGATGCCTAAAATCAAAGCACAGCATCTGCCCTGGTCCTGTGAGCTGAGCTGGTTTTCTGACAGTTCTGGAGAGGCATTGTGACAAGGCCCTCCTAGACCCAGACCTTCCCTGCTTGGCTGAGCTCATGAAGAGCGGCTATCCATGAGGCTCCAGAGAGTCCAATCCCCAGACCTGCTTAAGCCAAGTCTTCAGCCCACCAGGGTTTTAGGACTAGAAAGCTAAGGCTGCAGAGCTCATTGCAAAAAGGCCACTCAAAGGGGAAAGCTGCTTCTAGGATTGCTTGCGACAGGTAACCTAGTTTATAAAGAAGGTTCCCAGGACCAGGAAGGCTGCAGCTTTTGTGTTGAAGAACTGTATGTGGTTGGCAATCATGAATGACATTGGTTTAAGCTAACGCAGGATAACTTAAAAAAGAAATCTGTTGGTAACTGGGTGTGTCCTTTTATATCCGTAATTCAGTGCATTTGCACACGAAATTAGAACAGAGGATTCACACCTCACAAAGCAACCCTTAACTTGCTGCAATGGCCACTTGGAGAGTTCCAAACATAACCACGAAGTGATCACAGCCTCTCTTAAGAAGATCGGCACTAAACTAAGAAGGCCATGACAGACTGGCGGCCTCATCAGACCCCAAGCCAAGTCTACCTTGCTCAATCCACTCCTAAGGGAAAGCTGCTTTCTCTTCCTCCCTGTGAGGACCCCAACTCCACTCCCACCCCACTAGGTCACCCCAGTTTCCTTCCTGCTGCCCCCTCCACTCTCCTCTGATGACCACCTCCACTACCCTCGCTCTCCATCAGACACCCCAACTCCTCTGGAACCTCCCCACCCCCACCACATAGCCATCATCACATACACACTGCAACCAAGCTCCCTTTCTTGACCTTTCCCGATGGTTGCAGCGGCTCCTTATGAAGTCTCTCCCACTGACAAAAAAACATCTCCCACAGCTCCTATGTAAATCAGGTTAATGGAAACACTGGCATGCTTTTTCCCCTGGGGGAAAAAAAAAACTGAATGCTTAACAGTAGTAAAAGGTTTTCTGAATCCTAAGCAGGACTCTTGAGGGTCCCAAAGACAGCCAAGCCTCCTTATTAGTGCCTACCTATTGGAATTATCGGACCTTCATTGATGAGTTCACACGTTAGCAGGCCACCTCCAAGCACAGGTATGTCTCCACAAAACTGGATGGGATTTACCTGAAGATGATTTTATTCTTGCATTTTAACAGGGCTGGCATTGTGCTCTGTGTGCCCTACTGGGTAAAGCTGTTGCTTGTAATGCCAACAGCCCACGTGTGCACTGGTTGGAGTCCTGGCTGCTCTACTTCCAATACAGGTCCCTCATGTGCCTGAGAAAAGTAGAAGATGGTCCATATTTTTGAGCCCCTGCCACCCAGATGGGAGACCAGATGATGTCCCTGGCTCCTGCCTTTGGCCTATCCCAGCCCTGGAGCCCTGGCCATTGCAGCCATATAGGGGAGGAAACTGGCATATCTATGTAACTCAATCAAGAAAAAAATTTGAAACATTTTATCCAAATTCTTCTATAAAAGTAGACACTGTGACCAACAAGCTTTTCAGCACATTTCAATTATAGGGTGATTGACTGTACAGTCCTCATTGTCAACCACTCCCAGCCACACTAGCTCTGCAATGCCCAATGCTTCCCAAAATAGAGTCACTCAGGGGTGAGCCTGTCACGGGGCGGCAGCCCAACTGATCACTTTTCAGAAGGAAAAACATCCAAAGGCTCCTATCGGCCTTGGGATTAAAAA